CCTCATTCCAGAGACATAGAGAGAGGGAGAGACAGAGAGACGCAGATAGAGAGAGGAACCTGAGCTCTGGTGTGAGGTTCCCATTGTTAATCCAAGTCTCTGCCAACAATGAGTCTGTCCTTTCTCACTGTCTCTCTGATCTCCATCCTCTGGCCCTGTGAGTATCTCTCAACATCTCTCAATTCCCTTCAGGGTCCCAAAGCCATTGGGATTTCATATCCAAACCCTCTTTCTGTTTGAGGGATGTGTTTGTGTGAATGTGAGTTTGTGTGTGTGTGTCATTCCGGGAATCAGACCAGAACATTCCCTGTGGGCAGGATGACCTGATGTTATATTGTCTTTGCAGGTCTGTCACTGGGAGCTTTGGTGACTCAGTTGCCGCGGACAGTCACAGCCAGAGAGGGGGAGACAGTGACTTTGAATTGTCACCAGAAGGACACAGCCTATCAAACAATGCTGTGGTACCTCCAACCCCATCAGGGAGGCCTCACATTGATTGGATACGGTTTTGCGTCAAACCCAACGATGGAGGATGCTTACAAACTTGACTACGAAGTTAAACAGACAGACGACTATAAGAACTGTTCCCTGGAGATCAAGAAGGCAACCCAGGAGGGGGTGTATTACTGCGCTGCGAGAGAAGGGCACAGCGTGAGAGAGAGACAGACCTCTCGTACATAAACCTCACACAGGATACACAACGACTCGATTCTATACACACACACACCAGCCCCTCCCCCGCCAACACCTGCCCTCAGTCTCTGCGGAAATAAAACCCATCGACACAGACGATTGAGAGACAGAGAGAAATCGAGGTTCAGGGCCGGAGTAGCCACAGCTCCATGTCACCCACTCTCCTCACTGTTCCCTCTGTGTCTCTGAATCTGAATCTGGGACCAATTTTGTGATCTCGTGTTCCTGACCAATACCCCGGGGGAGGCTGTAACTTCACTAAAAGGCTTCCCTTTCCCCTCATCTCAAACCTCCCACCAATGCCCCACTGGTGGGTGGGGCACAAGACCCACTTCCGATGTAGAATCGAATAGAATTATACAGCGCAGATGGAGACCATTCGGCTCATCGTGTCTGTGCCGGTCTTTGAAAAGAGCTTCCAATTCGACCCCACTCCCCCACTCTCTCCCCATAACCTGCAAACTTGTCCTCCCCAAATAGTTATTTGCTTCTCCCTTAGAAGCTTTTAAGCCTTAGAAGAGAGACACAGATAGTGAGAGGAACCTGAGCTCTGGTGTGAGGTTCCCAACGTTAATCCAAGTCTCTGCCAACAATGTGTCTGTCCTTTCTCACTGTCTCTCTGATCCCCATCCTCTGGCCCTGTGAGTATCTCCCAACGTCTCTCATCCCCGTAAACTCTCAAATCCACAGGGATTTCATATCACACCTCTCTCTCTCCGCGATGATTGCGCTTTGTGTGTGTGCATAATCCATTGAACACCCGCCAGGACATTCAGCTCAGATTCCCTGTTGGAGGGATCTCATTGTTATATTGTCTTTGCAGGTCTGTCACTGGGAGCTTTGGTGACTCAGTGGCCGCGGACAGTCACAGCCAGAGAGGGGGAGACAGTGACTTTGAATTGTCACCAGGACAATACTGCCAGTACTGACATTACAATGCTCTGGTACATCCAACCCCATCAGGGAGGCCTCACATTGATCGGATATAACCGATTCTCAACCGAATATGAGGACAAGTTTAAATCCGGCTACAACATTACCAAGACACCTGACAACATGAACTCCACCCTGGAGATCTCCAACATCAACCCAACCCAGGAGGGGGTGTATTACTGCGCTACGAGAGAAGGGCACAGCGTGAGAGAGAGACAGATCTGTCATACATAAACCTCACACAGGATACACAACGACTCGATTCTATACACACACACACACACACACCAGTCCCTCCCCCACCAACACCTGCCCTCACTCTCTGTGGAAATAAAATCCATCAACACAGCCGATTGAGAGACAGAGAGAAATAAAGGTTCAGGGCCGGAGTCGCCACGGCTCCATGTCGCCCACTGTTCCCTCTGTGTCTCTGAGTCTGAATCTGGGACCAATTTTGTGATCTCGTGTTCCTGACCAATACCCCGGGGGAGGCTGTAACTTCACTAAAAGGCTTCCCTTTCCCCACATCTCAAACCTCCCACCAATGCCCCACTGGTGGGTGGGGCACGAGACCCACTTCCGATGTAGAATCGTAGAATTATACAGCGCACATGGAGGCCATTCGGCTCATTGTGTCTGTGCCGGTCTTTGAAAAGAGCTTCCAATTCAACCCCACTCCCCCCCTCTCACCCCATAACCTGCAAACTTGTCCTCCCCAAATCCTCTGCTTCTCTCATAAAAGCTGTTATCGAATGGGCTTCCACCAGCCTTTCAGGCAACGCATTCCAGATGCATCTGTATTTCTATCTCTGAATTTGGAACCAATTTTGGGACCCGCTGTACCCAGTTCATACCCTGGGGGAGGCTGTAGCTTCACTAGGACACCTCCCCTCCTCCCCAGCTCCACCTCCCATCACTGGGGGGAGGTGAGGCCCACTTCCGATGTGGTGCAGACTTTACTCTGTCAGAGCTTCATTCCAGAGACATAGAGAGAGGGAGAGACAGAGAGACAGTGACAGAGAGAGGAACCTGAGCTCTGGTGTGAGGTTCCCAATGTTAATCCAAGTCTCTGCCAACAATGCGTCTGTCCTTTCTCACTGTCTCTCTGATCTCCATCCTCTGGCCCTGTGAGTATCTCCCAACATTTCTCTTCCCCGTAAACTCTCAAATCCACAGGGATTTCATATCACACCCTCTCTCTGTCCGCGATGATTGCGCTTTGTGTGTGTGTGCGTAATCCATTGAACACCCCCCAGGACATTCAGCCCAGATTCCCTGTCGGAGGGATCTCATTGTTATATTGTCTTTGCAGGTCTGTCACTGGGAGCTTTGGTGACTCAGAGGCCGCGGACAGTCATAGCCAGAGAGGGGGAGACAGTGACTTTGAGATGTCGCCAGGACGATAGCTCCGTTTATACGATGCTCTGGTACATCCAACCCCATCAGGGAGGCCTCACATTGATCGCTTATGTCTCTGCATCAACCCCAAACTATGAGAAGGGTTTTGAATCTGACTACAAAGTTAACCAGACCAGTAACAGGAAGGAGTCCTTCTTGGAGATCTCCAGATTGACCCCAACCCAGGAGGGGGTGTATTACTGTGCTGCGAGAGAAGGGCACAGCGTGAGAGAGAGACAGATCTCTCGTACATAAACCTCACACAGGATACACAACCACTAGATTCTATACACACACACACACACACCAGCCCCTCCCGCGCCAACACCTGCCCTCAGTCTCTGCAGAAATAAAACCCATCAACACAGATGATTGAGAGACAGAGAGAAATCGAGGTTCAGGGCCGGAGTAGCCACGGCTCCATTTCGCCCACTCTCCACACTGTTCCCTCTGTGCCTCTGTCTCTGAATCTGGGACCAATTTTGTGACTTGCAGTTCCTGGACCAGACCCTGGGGGAGGCTGTGGCTTCACTAAGACATCTCCACCTCCCACCAATGTCCCTCGGTGGGGGGCGGGAGTGACACCCACTTCCGATGTGGTACCGACACCTTGGGGTCATTGGTGCCTTTACTCTGCTGGAGCTTAATTCCACAAATACAGAGAGAGAGAGAGAGTGAGAGACAGAGGGAGACAACCATTAGGAGAGAGGGGGAGTGTTGTTGAGAAAGGTAAACAGAAAGAGGGCGTGTGACAGTGGGGGGGGAGAGAGAGAGAGGAACCTGAGCTCTGGTGTGAGGTTCTCAATGTTAATCCAAGTCTCTGCCAACAATGAGTCTGTCCTTTCTCACTATCTCTCTGATCTCCATCCTATGGCCCTGTGAGTATCTCCCAAAGTCTCTCAATTCCCCTCAGGCTCCCAATTCCAATGGGATTTTGATATCATCCTCCACTCTCTCTGTCTGAGAATATCTGGCTCTGTGTATGTGTGTGTATGTGCATGTGTGTATGTGTGAGTGTGTGCGCCCGTATGTGTATGTCATTCCGGGGATCAGACCAGGACATTCCCTGTGGGCAGGATGATGGATGTTATATTGTCTTTGCAGGTCTGTCACTGGGAGCTTTGGTGACTCAGTGGCCGGAGACAGTCACAGCCAGAGAGGGGGAGACAGTGACTTTGAGATGTCACCAGGATGACAGTGCCCTTGATACGATGCTCTGGTACATCCAACCCCATCAGGGAGGCCTCACATTGATTGGATACGGTTTTATGTCAACTCCAACGATTGAGGATGACAAACCTGACTACAAAATTACACAGACTGATGACTATAAGAACTGCTCCTTGGAGATCAAGAACGTAGCCCAGGAGGGGGTGTATTACTGCGCTGCGAGAGAAGGGCACAGTGTGAGAGAGAGACAGATCTCTCGTACATAAACCTCACACGGGATACCCAACGACTCGATTCTATACACACACACACACACCAGCCCCTCCCCCGCCAACACCTGCCCTCAGTCTCTGCAGAAATAAAACTCAACAACACATGACTGAGAGACAGAGAGAAATAGAGGTTCAGGGCCGGAGTAGCCACGGCTCCATGTCGCCCACTCTCCACACTGTTCCCTCTACGTCTCCGAACCAACGACTAATTTTATGATCTCCCAGGCCATACTTTGGGGGAGGCTGTAGCTTCACTAAGACTCCCCCACATCTCCTCTCCAACCAATGTCCCACTAGGTGGGTGGGGAGTGGGGGGGGGGGAGAGGTCACTTCCGATATGGTGCCGACACTTTGGTGTCATTGGAGCCTTTCCTTTTCCAGAGCTTCACGGAGATACAGTGAGAGAGACAACATTTAGGATAGAGGGGGAGAGTTACTGAGAAAGAGAGAGTGTGAGTGTTAAAGAAAGAGTTAAAGAACGAGTTAAAGAAAGAGTGTATATGAGAGAGAGAAAGGAACCTGAGCTCTGGTGTGAGGTTCCCAATGTTAATCCAAGTCTCTGCCAACAATGAGTCTGTCCTTTCTCACTGTCTCTCTGGTCTCCATCCTCTGGCCCTGTGAGTATCTCCCAAAGTCTCCCAATTCCTCTCAGGCTCCCAATTCCAATCGGATTTCATATCATCCTCCACTCTGTCTGTCTGAGAAGATCCGGCTCTGTGTATGTGTGTGTATGTGTATATACATATACGTATGTAATTCCGGGGATCAGACCAGGACATTCCCTGTGGGCAGGATGATGGATGTTATATTGTCTTTGCAGGTCTGTCACTGGGAGCTTTGGTGACTCAGTGGCCGGGACAGTCACAGCCAGAGAGGGGGAGACAGTGAGTTTGAATTGTTATCAGAATGACACAGACTATCAAGTAATGCTCTGGTACTTCCAACCCCATCATGGAGGCCTCACATTGATCGCATACGCCGTGGTGACAACTCCAACGTATGAGAAAGGCTTTGAATCCGGCTACAATATGACAAAGACAACTGATGACAAGGAATCCTCCCTGAAGATCTCCAACTTGAACCCAACCCAGGAGGGGGTGTATTACTGCGCTGCGAGAGAAGGACACAGCGTGAGATAGAGACAGATCTCTCGTACATAAACCTCACACAGGACAAACAACGACTCGATTCTATACACACACACACCAGCCCCTCCCCCACCAACACCTGCCCTCAGTCTCCGCAGAAATAAAACCCAACAACACAGACCATTGAGAGACAGAGAGAAATAGAGGTTCAGGGCCGGAGTAGCCACGGCTCCATGTCGCCCACTCTCCACACTGTTCCCTCTGTGTCTCTGTCTCTGTCCCCGATTAAAGCCGTCAGGGCGGGGAACACACACACCCACCGACTCACTCACACACTCACTGCCTCACTGACACTCTCACACTCACACACACTGACTCCCAAACTCACTGACTCTCCAACTCAAAGCCAACAAGGACTGGGGTTTACTCAGCGCCTTCATGGGTCTTCATGGCCGGCAAACGTGGGGTGGGTCTGTCTCTCACACCTTCTGAGACACCGACACAAAAAGATAAGACGGTCCCCGACTGCATCTACAACGTCACCTTGAATTAACCCCCTCACTGCCAAATGGATAATTATCCTTCACACTTCTCTTCCATAGTCACCAACACCAGTGCTCAACTTTCCCTGAGTCTTCTCTGTCTCATCCCAACCCCCCAACACACACACACACAAGTAACTACCTCATGTTGAACACACACAAACACACAATATTAACCATCTCCCTGCCTCCATTGAACCAACTTCCTCCACCGTATTTTCTCTGTATCTCCATATCTAAACCTGGGAACAATTTTGAACCCTGTAGTTACAAGTCTATCCCCGAGGGGAGGCTGCAGCGTCACTGATTCACTCTCCTGTCCCACAGGGTGGGGGGTGGGGGGGGTTGGGGCTTGTGATATCTTTCGAATACTTTGGTGTCATTGGTGCCTTCAATCCGTCAGAGCTTCAGTCCAGAAAAAAAAGCCAGAGAGAGAGAGTCGATGTGAGAGATAAAAAGAGTGTGAGATACAGTGTGTGACCGCGTGTGAGGATAAAGAGGGAGGAAGAGAGAACTGAGGTGTGAGGTTCCCAATGTTAATCCAAGTCTCTGCCAACAATGTCCTCTCTCACTGTCTCTCTGATCTCCATCCTCTGGCCCTGTGAGTATCTCTCAACATATCTCTTATCCCCGTAAACTCTCAAATCCACAGGGATTTCACATCACACCCTCTCTCTGTCCGCGATGATTGCGCTTTGTGTGTGTGCGTAATCCATTGAACACCCCCCAGGACATTCAGCCCAGATTCCCTGTCGGCGGATCTCATTGTTATATTGTCTTTGCAGGTCTGTCACTGGGAGCTTTGGTGACTCAGGTGCCGCGGACAGTCACAGCCAGAGAGGGGGACACAGTTACTTTAAATTGTCACCAGAAGGACACAGCCTATCAAACAATGCTCTGGTACCTACAACCCCATCAGGGAGGCCTCACATTGATTGGATACGGTTATTTGTCAAACCCAACGATGGAGGATGCTTACAAACTTGAGTACGAAGTTAAACAGACAGATGACTATAAGAACTGTTCCCTGGAGATCAAGAAGGCAACCCAGGAGGGGGTGTATTACTGCGCTGCGAGAGAAGGGCACAGCGTGAGAGAGAGACAGATCTCTCGTACATAAACCTCACACAGGATACACAACCACTCGATTCTATACACACACACACACACCAGCCCCTCCCCCGCCAACACCTGCCCTCAGTCTCTGCAGAAATAAAACCCATCAACACAGACGATTGAGAGACAGAGAGAAGTAGAGGTTCAGGACCAGAGTAGCCACGGCTCCATGTCGCCCACTCTCCACACTGTTCCCTCTGTGTCTCTGTCTCTGAATCTGGTACCAATTTTGTGACTTGCAGTTCCTGGACCAGATCCTGGGGGAGGCTGTGGCTTCAGTAAGACACCCCCACTCCCCCACATCTCCACCCCCAACCAATGTCCCTCGGTGGGGGGCGGGAGTGACACCCACTTCCGATGTGGTACCGACACATTGGGGTCATTGCTGCCTTTACTGTGCTGGAGCTTAATTCCTCAGATACAGAGAGAGAGAGTGTGAGAGGCAGAGGGAGACAACCTTTGGGAAAGAGGGAGTGTTATTGAGAAAGGTAAAGAGAAAGAGAGACTGTGAGATTGAGGCGGAGAGAGAGAGTGGAACCTGAGCTCTGGTGTGAGGTTCCTAATGTTAATCCAAGTCTCTGCCAACAATGAGTCTGTCCTTTCTCACTGTCTCTCTGATCTCCATCCTCTGGCCCTGTGAGTATCTCTGGCCCTGTGAGTATCTCTCAACATCTCTCAATTCCCCTCAGGCTCCTGAATACACTGGGATTTCATATCATCCTCCACTCAACATCACCCCTTCGCCTCTATTGATGGATGTCCGCGATGATCCCGCTTTGTGTGTGTGTGTGTAATCCATTGATCACCTCCTTTCAGCCCAGATTCCCTGTCGGAGCGATCTCACTGTTATATTGTCTTTGCAGGTCTGTCACTGGGAGCTTTGGTGACTCAGTGGCCGGGGACAGTCACAGCCAGAGAGGGGGAGACAGTGACTTTGAATTGTTATCAGAATAACAAAGACTATGAAGTAATGCTCTGGTACCTCCAACCCCATCAGGGAGGCCTCACATTGCTCGGGTATGTCTACTACACAACGGTAACGCATGAGGAATCTGGTTACAACATTACCAAGACATCTGACAAGATGAACTCCACGCTGGAGATCTCCAGCGTGAACCCAACCCAGGAGGGGGTGTATTACTGCGCTGCGAGAGAAGGGCACAGCGTGAGAGAGAGACAGATCTCTCGTACATAAACCTCACACAGGATACACAACGACTCAATTAACCCCCTACACACACACACACACACACACATACATACAAACCAGTTCCTGCCCCACCAACACCTGCACCTCGTCTCTGCAAGAAGAAAACACAACAAAACAGTTCCCTCTATGTTTCTCTAAAATTTGGGACCAATTTTATGCTTGCAGTTACCAGTCCATACACGAGGGGAGGCAATAGGTTCACAGAGATTCCTCCCCGCCCCTTCCCCCCCATGTCTCCCACCTATCAATCGCGGCCACTGGGTGGTGGTGGGTGGGTGGGTGTGGGGGGGAGTGTTCTACTTGCCAGATGGCTCATAAGCTTTGGTGTCATTTTTGCTTCAACCTGCCAGAGCTTCATTCCGAAAGAGAGAGAGTGTGTGAGAGACGGAGAGAGGGGAGAGAGAAAGAAAGGGGTAGCAGTAGACGATGGCTTTATCTCCCCAACGCCCCACATCAATAATAATAATAATAATCCTTGCATTGATATTGTGCTTTTCACGTCTTCTCGACGTCTCAAAGTGCTTCACAGAATAGACTGTAAAGTGAATTGACTATATTTGTGGGCGAAACACGGCTGCCAATTGCGCACAGCAATGTCCCTCAAACAGTCGTGGATTGAACTGAGCAATTTATTACTGGTTTTTTCTTGAGGGGTTATTATCAGGCGTGTGGAGTGAGGAAACTCGCCCAAGGTTTCGCCCTGACCGGGAATCAAACCCAGGTCTCTCGCTTGCAAAGCCAGTGCTCTAACCACAAGGACTCCAGAAATATTATCCCCGTGCGAGACACGCTGATTATATGCAATTTATTGATGTTGTTGTTCACTCTATGTCTCTCTCCCGAAACCTGGGGCCAACTTTTCTCCCTCCCCTGGAGGGATGGAACTGTATCATGACTGGGAGTCTGGAGATCAGTGGGGTCTCCTTGGGGCGGAACTGGCTCCAAGATTATGTGCTTGGTAATGGAACGTCAGAATTGAGGCTACCCACTGCGATGATCTCGAGTCTGGGTCCTGAGCCAGGAGGAACCGGGCACTGCTGATGACAACACAGCCCAGCCTAGCTCATCGGCAGGACCTGCAAGGGCAGACCAGTCACTGGGGGCAGGGAATCCTTCCACCGAGTACCAGGAATGGAGGGGCTTCAATTACAAGGAGTGGCTAGAGACGCTGGGATTATTCTCCTTGGAAAAGGATAAGTAAGAGGAGACTTAATAGAGGTTTTCAAAATTATGAGGGGGATTCAATAGGGATTCAATCGACACCTGCACCCACCTCCCAACAACAGCCACTGGGGGGGGTGTCCACTCGCCACGTAGTTCATAAACTTTGCTGTCATTGTTGCCTTCAATTTACCAAAGCTTCAGTCCACAGAGAAGCAGAGAGAGAGAGAGAGAGAGGAACCTGAGCTCTGGTGTGAGGTTCCCAATGTTAATCCAAGTCTCTGCCAACAATGAGTCTGTCCTTTCTCTCTGTCTCTCTGATCTCCATCCTCTGGCCCTGTGAGTATCTCTCAACATCTCTCAATTCCCCTCAGGGTCTAAATACACTGGGATTTTATACCATCCTCCTCTCTCTGTGTCTGAGATGATCTCGCGGTGCTTGTGTATAAATGTGTGTGTGAGTATGTGAGTGTGTATGTCAGTGTGTGTGTGTGTAATCCCTGTGGGCAGGATGATTGATATTAAATTGTCTTTGCAGGTCTGTCGCTGGGAGCTTTGATGACTCAGTGGCCGGGGACAGTCACAGCCAGAGAGGGGGAGACAGTGACTTTGAGATGTTACCAGAATGACAGTGCCCTTGGTGCAATGCTCTAGTACCTCCAACCCCGCAAGGGAGGCCTCACATTGATCGGATATGTCTATGTGTCCCCAACGTATGAGAAAGGCTTTGAATCCGGCTACAACATGACAAAGACAACTGACGACAAGGAATCCTCCCTGGAGATCTCCAGCTTGAACGCAGCCCAGGAGGGGGTGTATTACTGTGCTGCTAGAGAAGGGCACAGCGTGAGAGAGAGACACATCTCTCACACATAAACCTCACACATAAACCTCACACAGGAGTCACGTGTGACTCCCGCCCCAAGCTTCCCCCGCCCCAACTGCACATACACACAGAAGGCCCCATCCGCTCCTCCACACCTGCACCCTTCAAATACAAAACCAGGTCAACGCAGGCAATGAGAGACAGAGAGAAAGCAAGTGGTTGAGGGCAGGAGTAGTCCATGGCTTTAGTTCACCAACTTATTGTCCCCATGTGAAATTCGCTGATTAAATGTCATTACCTCATGTCTCCGTCACGAAACCTGGGAACAACTTCTCTCCCTGCAGTTCCAGGGGGAGGGAGTGGGGAGTGGGGGGTGCGGGGAGCTGTAAAGTCACTAGAATTCAGCGAGGTCTCCTCAGGGCCGATCTGGTTCCAAGTTGATGTGCACGGCAATGGAATATCGGAATTGAGTCCACCATCTGTTCCTGTCTCTATACTGGTTCCGGAGTCAGTCGTGTTTGCAGTATTCCAGGGCACTGCTGATGACAGCACTGTCCAGTTTGGCTTATCAGCAGGACCCAGAAGGGCAGACCAGTCACTCGGAGTAAGGAATCCTCCCACTGAGCTCCTGTTAACACTGCAAACCAAAGCCCTAACGGGTAATGTGGTCCAAGGGTGGTGATAAGTCACCCAGGCCGGATGGGATGCTGAGGGAAGTAAGGGTGGAAATAACGGAGGCTCGGGCCACAATCTTGCTATCCTCCTTGGACATCAGAGAGGTGCCAGAGGACTGGAGGGTTACAAATGTCACTCCCCTATACAAAAAGGGGCAGAAGGATAAACCAGATAACCACAGGCCAGTCAGCCTGACGTCAGTAGTGGAGAAATTTCTAGGGACTATAATCCGGGACAAAATAAATTTTCAATGTGGGTTAATAAAGCACAGAGGCTGGAGAAGCCGGGATTATTCTCCTTGGAGCAGAGAAGGTGAAGAGGAGACGTATTAGAAGGTTTTAAAATTAAGAGGGGATTCGATAGAGTGAACAAGGAGAAACTATTCCCACTGGCGGGTGGGTCGGTAACCCGAGGACATGGATTTAAAATAGTTGTTAAAAGAAACAGAGTGGGGGGGGGGAAAACACAGTGAGTTGCTCAAATCTGGAATGCATTGCCTGAAAGGCTGGTGGAAGCCGATAACAACTTTGAGGAGAGAGGTAGACACTTATTTGGGATTGACAAGTTTGCAGGGCTATGGGGAGAACGCGGGGAAATGGGATTCATTTGGATAGTCCTTTCCAAAGATCCAGCACACACACACACGATGGGTCGAATGGCCTGCTTCCGAGCTGTATAATTATATGAATCTATGAATGCCCCACGATGGGGGAGTTCTGCTTTCATTATGGTTCAATACTTTGGTGCCATTGGTGGATTATCTGTGACAGAGATTTATATCTGAGGTGGGGGGGGGGGCGGAGGGGTGGGGAGTGGGAGGAGATACGTAGAGTGTAAGCGAGAAAGAGAAAAAGAGAGTGTGTGAGACATAGAGAGTGAGAGAGAAAGAGAGAGGAATCTGTGCTCTGGTGTGAGGTTCCCAATGTTAATCCAAGTCTCTGCCAACAATGAGTCTGTCCTTTCTCACTGTCTCTCTGATCTCCATCCTCTGGCCCTGTGAGTATCTCTCAACATCTCTCAATTCCCCTCAGGCTCCCAAATACACTCGGATTGCATATCATCCACTTCGATCTCTGTCTGAGATGATGCCACTCTGTGTGTGTGTGTGTGTGTGAGAATGTGTGAGTGTGTAATCCCGGGAATCAGAACATTCCCTGTGGGCAGGATGATGGATCCTGTCTTATTGTCTTTGCAGGTCTGTCACTGGGAGCTTTGCTGACTCAGTGGCCGGGGACAGTCACAGCCAGAGAGGGGGAGACAGAGAGTTTGCATTGTTATCAGAATGATACAGACTATCAAGTAATGCTCTGGTACCTCCAACCCCATCAGGGAGGCCTCACATTGATCGGATATGCCATGGTGTCGAGCCCAAATTACGAGGCGGGTATGGAAGCTCACTACACGATTACACAGACTAGAAACAAAGAATCCTCCCTGAAGATCTCCAACATGATCGCAGCCCGGGAGGGGGTGTATTACTGTGCTGCTAGAGATGGGCACAGTGTGAGAGAGAGACAGATCTCTCATACATAAACCTCACACAGGATACACAAAGCTTCCCCGTACCCCCCCCCCCACACACACAAGCGCTCCTTCCACATCCCCGACACCTGTACTCAGCCGCTTCAAATACAAAACCAGGTCAACACCGACGATGAGACACAGAGAGCGAAAGGGAGGCTTTGAGTTGAGGGGTAGATCATGGCTTTATCTCCGCATCTCCCCACAAACCCGCTGATTAAATGCAATTTCTTGTTGTTGCTGTTCACTCCGTGTCTCTGTCACGAAACCTGGAACCACTTCTCTCCCTGCAGTTCCTGCCCCTGTGGGTGCTGAAGCTTCACTGGTTGTCCAGAAGCCGGCGGGGTCTCCTCTGAGCCAAACTGGCTCCAAGGTGATGTGCTTGGCCATAGAATGTCTGAAATGAGTCCATCCATTGGGATGAGATGGAGTCCGGTTCCTGAGCAAATCCGCAGTCTTCCAGGGCGTTGCTGATGATAGCACAACCCAGCCTGGCTCATCGGCAGGACCAGGAAGGGCTAACCGGTCACTGGTGGCAGGGATTCCACCCTCTGAGCTTCTGTTCAAGCCAAAGCCCAACAGGTAGGTTGATCCTAACTGGAGAAGCAGTGAGAAAGCTTGCCAGACAGCAGTATCAATGGCAAGCTACGTGGTTTAACTGGTTACACTCCAACGCACAGTATGGGATCCCACCAAGCCTAGGAGCTCGCCAAACTGCACCTAACACTCTCCAGAATTAGTTAAGCAGGATGGGACCCTCTGGGGAGAGAGTGCACATGACATTCCAAGGATCTATCTCTGGGATTTGTATGTGTGGGTGGGTTACATGGACATTTCAGTTCAGTTTGGAGAATCTTAGCTGCTGTGATGGGTTTCCGCGTGTGTCCGACACCGGGCCGGCCAAAGAAAATGTCTCAGGACGTTCCTTCCCCCTCCCCACGTCTCCATAGCCCAACAATCATAGAATTATACATTGGGTCTGTTTCCAACAAGGAATACAATGTCCCACTCGGGGCACGGCTCATACACTATTTCAGCGCCTTGGGACGTCCACATCACTCCCACCCTCGCTCGCCTCCACTGGCTCCCCATCCCCCAGAGGATCGATTTTAAGATCCTCATCCTCACCTATAAGGCCATTCACGGCCTCGCTCCCTCCTACCTCTCCGACCTACTATCCCCCTACCTACCTGCCCATACCCTCCGTTCCTCTGGCTCCCATATGCTCCACATCCCCCGCCCCAACTGCCCTACCATCAGTGGCCGGGCCTTCAGCCTCTCAGCCCCGAGGCTCTGGAACTCCATCCCCCAGTGCCTTCGCCGCCTCCTCCCTTTCCTCCTTCAAGGCTGGTCTCAAGACATTTCTCTTTGACCGTGCCTTCAGCTCCCCTCTCGACTCTCTACCCCCTCCTCGCTCCCACCCTTCCCTCCCCTCACCCTGACCATTTCCCCCACTGCTCGGGTCCTGACCCAACCGTACATCGCCTTGGAACGTCCTCCCGACGTGAAAGGCGCTCTATAAATGGAATCTTGTTGCTTTTGTTGTATTGTGTCATTGGTGGATTATCTGTGACAGAGATTCACGTCTGTGGTGGAGGGGGCGGAGGGGTGGGGAGAGGGAGGAGACACGTTAGAGTGTAAGTGAGAGAGAGAAAAAGAGAGTGTGTGAGACATAGAGAGGGAGAGAGAAAGAGAGAGAGGAACCTGAGCTCTGGTGTGAGGTTCCCAAGGTTAATCCAAGTCTCTACCAACAATGAGTCTGTCCTTTCTCACTGTCTCTCTGATCTCCATCCTCTGGCCCTGTGAGTATCTCTCAACATCTCTCAATTCCCCTCAGGCTCCCAAATACACTCGGATTTCATGTCATCCACTTCTCTCTGTCTGAGATGATGCCACTCTGCATGTATGTGTGTGTATGTGTGCATGTCCGTATGTATGTGTGTGTGTGTGTGTGTTTAATCCCGGGATCAGACCAGAACATTCTCTGTGGGCAGAATGATGGATGTTATATTGTCTTTGCAGGTCTGTCAGTGGGAGCTTTGTTGACTCAGTGGCCGCGGACAGTCACAGCCAGAGAGGGGGAGACAGAGAGTTTGAATTGTTATCAGAATGACACAGACTATAACACAATGCTCTGGTACCTCCAACCCCATCAGGGAGGCCTAACATTGATCGGATATGCCTTGGTGTCAAACCCAAATTACGAGACGGGTATGGAAGCTCACTACACGATTACACAGACTGGAAACAAAGAATCCTCCCTGAAGATCTCCAACATGACTGCAATCCAGGAGGGGGTGTATTACTGTGCTGCTAAAGATGGGCACAGCGTGAGAGACAGACAGATCTCTCATACATAAACCTCACTCCCACACATACACACACACACAAGTGCCCCTTCCACATCCCCGACACCTGTACTCTGCCTTTTCAAATACAAAATGAGGTCAACCCCGACATTGAGACACAGAGAGCGAAAAGTAGGGTTTGAGTTGAGGGGCACATCATGGCTTTATCTCCCCATCTCCCTACATTATTTTCCCCATGTGGAACCCGCTGATTCAATGCAATTTCTTGTTGCTGTTGCTCACTCCGTGTCTCTGTCACGAAACCTGGAATCCACTTCTCTCTCTGCAGTTCCTGCCCCTGGTGGTGCTGTAGCTTCACTGGTTGTCTGGAAGCTGGCGGGGTCTCCTCTGAGCCAAACTGGCTACAAGGTGATGTGCTTGGCCATAGAATGTCTGAATTGAGTCCACCCATTGCGATGAGATGGAGTCCAGTTCCTGAGCGAGTCTGCAGTCTTCCAGGGCATTGCTGATGATGGAACAACCCAGTCTGGCTCATCGGCAGCACCAGGAATGGCTAACACATCACTGCTTCAAAGGAACCTACGCTCTTTGCTTCTGTTCAAGCCAAAGCACAACAGGTAGGTTGGTCCCAACTGGAAAAGCAGCGTGAAAGCTTGCCAGACAGCAGTATCAATGGCAAGCTACGTGGTTTTAGCTGGTTACACTCCAATGCACAGTGTGGGATCCCGCCAAGCCTGGGAGCTCGCCAAACGGCACCTCACACTCTCCGGAATTAGTTAAGCAGGATGGGACCCTCTGGGTAGAGAGTGCGCATGACATTCCAATGATCTCTCTCTGGGATTTGTATGTATGGGTGGGTTACATGGACATTTCAGTTTGGTTTGGAGAATCTTAGCTGCTGTGATGGGTTTCCACGTGTGCCAGACACCGGGCCGGCCAAAGAAAATGTCTCAGGCCGTTCCCTCCCCCTCCCCACGTCTCCACAGCCCAACAATCATAGAATCATACAGCACAGGACCATTGTGTATGTGGGCGCCATTCGGCCCATTGGGTCTGTTTCCAACAAGGAATACAATGTCCCACTAGGGGCACGGCTCACACACTATTGTGTCATTGGTGGATTATCTGTGACAGAGATTTACGTCTGTGGTGGAGTGGGAGGAGACAATAGAGTGTAAGCGAGAAAGAGAAAAAGAGAGTGTGTGAGACAGAGAGAAGGAGAGAGAGAGAGAGAGAGGAACCAGAGCTCTGGTGTGAGGTTCCCAATGTTAATCCAAGTCTCTGCGAGCAATGAGTCTGTCCTTCCTCACTGTCTCTGTGATCTCCATCCTCTGGCCCTGTGAGTATCTCTCAACATCTCTCAATTCCCCTCAGGTTCCCAAATACACTGCGATTTCATATCACCCACTTCTCTCTGTGTGTGAGATGATGCCACTCTGTGTGTGTGTGTGTGTGTGTGTGTAATCCCGGGAATCAGACCAGGACATTCCCTGTGGGCAGAATGAATGATGTTATATTGTCTTTGCAGGTCTGTCACTGGGAGCTTTGTTGACTCAGTGGCCGCGGACAGTCACAGCCAGAGAGGGGGAGACAGAGAGTTTGAATTGTTATCAGAATGACACAGACTATAACATGATGCTCTGGTACCTCCAACCCCATCAAGGAGGCCTAACATTGATCGGATATGCCTGGGCGTCAAGCCTAAATTACGAGGCGGGTATGGAAGCTCACTACACGATTATACAGACTGGAAACAAAGAATCCTCCCTGAAGATCTCCAACATGACCGCAGCCCAGGAGGGGGTGTATTACTGTGCTGCTAAAGATGGGCACAGCGTGAGAGACAGACAGATCTCTCATACATAAACCTCACACCGGATATACAAAGCTACCCTGCCACCCCCCCGCCACCCCACACACACACACACACACACACACACACACACACACAAGTGCCCCTTCCACCTCCCCGACACCTGTACTCTGCCTTTTCAAATCCAAAACCAGGTCAACACAGACGATGAGAGACAGAGAGCGAAAGGGAGGGTTTGAGTTGAGGGGCAGATCATGGCTTTATCTCCCCATCTCCCCACATTATTTTCCCCATGTGAAACCCGCTGATTAAATGCAACTTCTTGTTGCTGTTGTTCACTCCGTGTCTCTGTCACGAAACCTGGAACCCACTTCTCTCCCTCCAGTTCCTGCCCCTGTGGGTGCTGTAGCTTCACTGGTTGTCTGGAAGCCGCCGGGGTTTCCTCTGAGCCAAACTGGCTCCAAGGTGATGTGCTTGGCAATAGAATGTCTGAATTGAGTCCACCGATTGGGATGAGATGGAGACCGGTTCCTGAGCGAGTCCGCAGTCTTCCAGGGCGTTACTGATGAGGTGAGGGGGCGGAGGAGGGGTGGGGAGTGGGAGGAGACACATAGTGTAAGTGAGAAAGAGAGAGAGAAAAAGAGGGTGTGTGATATATATAGAGAGAGAGAAAATCTGAGCTCTGGTGTGAGGTTCGCACGGTTAATCCAAGTCTCTGCCAACAATGAGTCTGTCCTTTCTCACTGTCTCTCTGATCTCCATCCTCTGGCCCCGTGAGTATGTCTCAACATCTCACTCATCCCCTCAGGCTCGCAAATACACTGGGATTTCATATCATCCTATTCTCTCTGTCTGAGATGATGCCACTCTATGTGTGTGTGTGTGTGTGTGTATAGAATCCGGGAATCCGGGTAGATACATGCCCTATGGGCAGGATGACGGATATTATATTGTCTTTGCAGGTCTATCACTGGGAGCTTTGGTGACTTAGTAGCAGGAGAGGGAGAGATAGTGACTTCGAGATGTTACCCGAAGGAAACAGCCTATGAAAGAATGCTTTGGTACCTTCAACCCCAGCTGGGAGGCCTCATATTTAATCAGACATAGCCTTTACTCAAGCCCAACAGTTGAGGAGAATTTTAAACCTGACTACAGCATTACTCCGAGGAGGAACTATAAGAATTCCTCCCTGGAGAACTCCTCCAGGAATACATCTGCAGGAGGGGTCGTAATACTGTGTTGCTGGAGAAGCGTTCAGCGTGAGAGAGAGAGATATAGATCTCTCACACATAAACCACACACAGGATACAAAAACCCTGCCTACACCACACGTGTAGATGCAGATACCTCAGAATACAGCACCGTGTGTCAAGGTCAACACCAGCGATAGATGGAGCGAGAGAGAGAGAGGTTCTTGGCAGGTGTAAGCCATTGCTCCATCTCAGCAACTTCCACAACAACAACAACACAATTACATTTATAAAGCGCCTTTCATGTCGGGAGGACGTCCCAAAACTTCCAACGTTTGTGCAATACTGTAACTCAGTGTAATAATACTGTAATAATTTGGTCACTCAATACATGACGGTTTGTGGGACACTGTTTGCCGCAATTGACTACCGATTTTCGCCAACAGAAGTCCCTTCACTTTACTGTATATTCTGTGAAGCGCTTTGAAATATCTCGAAGACGTGATCAGGCTCTATATCAGATGGAAGGATCACTGTTATTATTCGTGTTCTATCTCTGATTATGGTGCTGATTTTGCACCTTGCAGTTCACAGTGCTGTCACGAGGTGATCTCGCTGAGTAAGTGGAGGAACCTCCAACTCATTAGCTCTTGCACCATTTCTTGCCATTTGCTTCTTGTACACATCCCCCATATTAACAGTGACAACTCTATATAGCATGTTGTTTATTATCAGTGACACCTCTATATGGAGTGATGTAAACAGTGACACCTCTATAAAGGGTGATATTAGCAGTGACACCTCTATAGAGTGCGATATTAGAAGTGATATTAACATTGACACCTCTTTATAGTCTGATATTAACAGTGACACCTCTATACAGTACCATATGAACAGCGACACCTCTACATAATCTGATATTAACTGTGACACCTCAATATAGTCTGATATTGACCGTTGCTCCCCTATACAGTCTGATATTAACAGAGACACCTCTACATAGTCTGATATTAACAGTGACACTTCTGTATAATCTAATATTAACAGTGACACCTCCATGTAGTCTGATATTATCAGTGTTGCCTCTATATAGTCCAATATTAAAAGTGACATATCTGTATATAGGGATATAAACAGTGACATCTCTATATATTTTGATAGTAACATTGACACCTCTATGTGTTCTATATTAAGAATGACATGTCTATTCAGTCTGATATTAACAGTGACACCTCTATATGGTCCCATATTAACAGGAGGGAGGGGGAAGGGGAAAGAGAGGGGTAACAGAACCACAATGATCTGTGTTAACGAGATCTTATTTTTTTTTCTTGCACTATATTTGCGTCTTATCCCATCTCTCACTCACCACTAATATCAGCCAAGTTTCCTTACTCCACAAACACACCCACACACACTTCTGCTTACTGAGCAGCAAGTGGAAACCCGGATATTAGTCGATTGGCAGATTGCTTTCCGGGTGTAATAATCCCATCAAATAACAATAATTGGGTCACTCAATCCACTGCTGTTTTTGGGACACTGTTGTGCGCAGTTGGCTGGTCTGTTTCACCCATAAAACACAGTCACTAAACTTTGCAGTATCTTCTGTGAAGCACTTTGAGATGACTTGACGTGGTAAGGCGCTATATCAAATGCAAGGATTATTATTATTGTATTAACGGTGACACCTCTATATAATCTGATATTAAGTGACAACTCTATGGAGTCTGATATTAACAGTGACAACTCTATATAGTCTGATATGAACAGCGACATCTCCACATAGTCTGATATGAACAGTGACACCTCTATATAGTCTGATATGAACAGCGACACCTTTATATAGTCTGATCTTAACAGGGACGCCTCTGTACAGGTTTGATATTAACGGCTAATAAGGCCAATATGTTAACTCACTTTCCTCTCTCCATAGATGCTGCCTGACCTGTTTTTATATGTGTTTTTGCTGTGTCGGTGGTTTGGGGGGTGGGGGGGGGGAAAGGGGTGGTGTTGGGTGGGGGGGGGAAGAGTCGTTGTGGTCTATCTGCCCCTCTCTCTGTCGGTGGGTGTTTTTGAACGAGTCTTTCTCATTGTGGGGACAACAGGGAGCACTGTGGTACATCTCTCGGTAACAGCTGTACAAAAACTAGTTGTGGGAGGGGATCTCTGTAGGTCCATCACAGATGGGGTTTACGAGTAACTTCTGGTTAGGTTTAGTTGTAAAGCAGGAGAGAGAGAGAGAGAGAGGGAGAGATAGGAGAGACATGGTAGGAGTAATAGGAAGAAACGTTTTGAGAGAGGAAGCGAGCGAAGGAGAAAAAGGAAGGGGAGTAGCAGAGTCTCAAAGCACTTCGCAGTAACGTGAATTGACACGGTATGCGTTTGGGTGAAACCCGGCAGCCATTCGCACGCTGCGCAAACATTCGTGGATTGCGGCGGCCAAATTATTATTTAAAAAAAAACAAGTTCTGAAGGGATTGTTAGCCTCCGGAAACGCGATCAGCCAATTGACTATCAACCGGGTTCCTCCTCACTGCGCAGTTAACCGGAGACGTGAGTAAGGAAACTTGCCCAACCTTTCGCGCTGCAAGGAAACTGAATCCAGTTCCTCCGGCTTGAGTGGTGGTCAAAAGGTGTGAGAGAGAGGCACAGAAAGAATGAGATCGAGGGAGAGAGAGCGAAGGAAAAAGGAGAGCGCGAGTGAAAGAAGATGGGGCGAAGAGATAGGGAGTGTTTATGTCAGTCGTTGACATGATGTGCAAACTCAATTGCGTATTTTGGAAACGGGACAAGACTGAGAGTCCTGGGTAAGTATTGACTGGATGTGAGGGTCTGTCTGTCTCTCTCTCTGTCCCTGTCTCTGTCTACCTCTCCCCCTCTCTGTCTCTGTCTCTGACTGTCTCTCAGCCAGGAGATATACGTCAGACACTGCTCGCTGTGTACAATCCAGCATTCTTCGGTAGCGGGTCTAAACTGGCTGTTATCGGTGAGTTAAATACCTTTTAAATCCTGGTTAAGTTCTGTCCTCTAACCCCACAACCCCTGCTCTCTCTCTCCTGCATCGTGGGTCTGCTCTGGTCCTCTTTCCCCCACACTGGAACTCTCCATTCTCATCCCATTCCCTACTCTCTCTCCCAACCCTCCATCATGTCCTTGTTGGTGTTTGCCTCTGAACTCTGTCTCTCTCTCTGTCTCAATCCGTCTTTTTCTGTCTGTCTGTCTCCCTCTCTTTCTCTCAGTCTTTCTCTCTCTCTCTGCTACTCTGTCTCTATCTTTCTCCTGTCTCTGATGTAAACTGCTTTTCAAATGGAACAAAGCTAATCCTTATCGGTGAGTTTGAGTGGATTTTTCTGGTTCAAATATGAGCATCGGACACAACTTAATGTCTCAGTCTCCGCGTCTAGTTATCTCTCTGTCAGCCTCTGGCTGTCTGTTTGTATGTAACTCTCAGCTCCTATGCCTCTCGCTCTATCCATATCTCTCCTTCTCTGCCGTGCCTTGTCTCAGTCCCTCTCCCTCTCAGTATCTTTCCATCTCTCTTGCTTCTCTCTCTCTCTATATATGTTAGGGTTGTAATATACCCACCTGTCTCTGTGCTCCTCTGGTGTAAACTACTTTGCAGATGGAACAAAGTTAATTGTTCTCGGTGAGTTTCAGTTCATTTCTCTGGTTCAAAATGTGTATTAGGCATCAGTCCCCATCTCTAATCCGCTCGCTTTGTCTCAGTTTCTCTCTCACAATCTCGCTCAGTCTTTCTCTCTCTCTCTCAGTGTATATCTCAGTCTGTCTCTCTGTTTATTCTCTAAGCCTCTCTCTCTCTCTCTCTGACTGTCAGTATCTCTTTTCGTCTCTTTCTTAATCCCCATTGCAATCTCTACCATTCAGTCTCTCTCTGTATTTGTCTCTCCTTCGCTTTCTCTCTCTCTCTCTGTCTTTCTCGTGGTCTCTCTGTAAGGTAGACTGTGAGTATGAGATGCAATGATGATAAAAAAAACAGATGCAGGTACAGAGGGAATTGGTGAGAGAGCAATCGTCTATTCCTTCCTTGAAATTGGTCCTTGATTTAGAGTTAGAGACATGGAGGGAACAGTTGAGGCAGTTGGTGAAATGGGGACCCAGATTTATGGACAGATTAACAGTGAGACACTGGGTATTCCAGGCTGCAAAATTAGTCCCAGGGTTAGAGATGGAGATAAGGAATGAACAGAGAAGGGAGGTGGCGAGATGGTCTGCTGTAAAATTGGTCCCGGCTTCAGAGATTGAGCCATGGAGAGGATTTTGAGAGATGGAGGAATGGAGTTGGACATGGACAGAGAGATATGAAGAGCCAGAGAGAGAGATTTTATTTTTGTCAGCGCTATATAAACGTAACAACTTGCATTTATATAGCACCCTTCACGCCAGGTAGTGTCCTGGAGTGCTCGACAGTGGCAGAGTCTGACCCCGAGCCAGGGGGGAGATGGAGGTGGGAAATTGGAGAGATAGAGAGGTGCGAGGGCATGAAAGGATTTGAAAACAAGTGAGGGGATCTTGAAGTCGATCCGTTCAGATATTGGTAGCTATTGGAACGACGAATGTGAGGGGTTATGGAGTTTTGTACGGGTTATTATCCGGCGGGGGGTATATATATATATTTCTAATTCTCTCTCGAAAGACTACGTGGATTCTGCTTCCAACACTGCTCCTTGCCAGGATACTCCGTATCCGAAACACCCTTTGTGAAAACAACTCACTAACTTGCTTGTTTATTGAATATCTTATGTTGAGAGATGAGGGACTTCAGTTAAGTGGAGAGACAAGAGAGGATGGGGTTGTTCTCCAAAGAGCGGAGAAGGTTGAGGGGAGATTTAATAAAGGTGTTCAAAATTATGAGGGATTTTGATAAGAGTAAATAGTGAGAAAGTGTTTCCTCGGGTGGGTGGGTGGGTGGGTGGGTCGGTGGGACAAACGAGAACACACGTTTAAGAAAATTGGCAAAGGAACCAGAAGGGAGTTGATGAGAATTTGGTTTTACGCAGAAAGACGTTACGGTCTGGAATGCACTGTCTGAAAGGGCGGTGGAAGCAGATTCGATAGTAGTTTTCAAAAGGGAATTTGATATTTACTTAGAAAGGAACGATGTGCAGGGCTGTGGGATAATAGCGAGGGAGTAGGACTGGTTGGTAGAACAATCCATTCTCTCTCGTCTCTCCACACATTTGTGGTTGCTCATCTCTGGTACCAGTCTTCCAAATCTTTTCTGTTATAAAGTATGGCTTAGAGAATTGGACCCAATTTCCCTCTTTCTCTCTGTCTGTCTGTCCCTCTCTATGTCTCTCTCAGTTTGTTGTTGTTGTATTCTCAATTTTTCACGACCACTCTCTTCTGAGAACTTGAGATGAAACACTCATTAAAAATCTCTCCCAGATCCTCATTTTCTATGACTAGATTCCCCTTTCCGTTTCCATATGGCTGTACCTTCCTTACTTTAATGATCCTTTTGTGTTTTATATAAAATAATATAATAATCCTTGCATTTGATATAGCGCTTTTTTTCCCCGTCTTCTCGACGTCTCAAAGCGCTTCACAGAACATGATGTAAAGTGAATTGACCGTATATTTGTGGGTGAAACGCGGCAGCCAACTGCAGCGTCCCACAAACAGTCGTGGATTGAAAACGACCAATTTATTATTGTTTTGTTTTGGAGGGATTATTATTAGGCTCTGTGTGGAGTAAGAAAACTTGCCCAAGGTTTTGCCCTCTGCCTGGAATTGAACCCAGGTGTCTCGCTTGCAAGGCGAGTGCTCTAACCACTGAGCTACAGGATTCCACCTTTCATGTGTTTTATAATCTTTTGGTGTTTTTCTACACAGATTTGTTCAAAGCAAATCATGTCTGACAAACCTGATAGAGTTTTGTGATGAAGTGACGGAGAGGGTGGATGAAGGTAGTGCAGTTGATGCAGTTTATAGGGATTTTCAAAAAGCGTTTGATAAACTGCCACATAAGTGACTTGTAAGCAAAATAGAAGCCCACGGTATTAAAGGGACAGGGGCAGCGTGGATTCGGAACTGGGAGACAGAAAGCAGACAGTGGTGGTGAACAGTGGTTATTCTGAGTGATAGGGGTGGTGGTGGGGGTTGGAGAAGTGTGCAGTGATGTCCCCAGGGGTCAGTATTGGGATCACTAGTATTTTTGATCCATATAGATGACCTGGACTTGGGTATCATAGAATCATACAGCACAGAAAGAGGCCATTCGGCCCATCGCGTCTGCGCCAAAGAGCTTCCAACTCAATCCCACCGGCCCGCTTTCTCTCCATAGCCCTGCAGTCCCGTCCTCCCCAAATACCCATCAACTTCTCTCTAGAAAGTTGTTATTGAATCGGCTTCCACTACCCTTTCAGGTAATGCATTCCAGATCCCAACAACTCGCTGGGTGAAAAAATGCTTCCTAACCCCCCCTCTGTTTCTTCTAACAACTATCTTAAATTGGTGTCCTCGGGTTACTGACCTACATCCCAGTGGAAACAGTTTTTCCCAGTTCAACCTATTGAATCCTTTCATAACCTTGAAAACCTCTATTAAATCCCCTCTTAATCTTCTCTACTCCAGGGAGAATAATCCTAGTTTCGCTGCTAACCTCTCCTCATCACTAAGGTCCTTCATTCCTGGTACCATCCTGGTAAACCTCCTTTGCACCCTCTCCAATGCCCAAACATCTTTCCTAAAGTTCAGAATTGAACGCAGTCCCCAACTGAGGCCTAACCAGCATTTTATAAATATTCAACATAACCTCCTGACTTTGTATTCTACGCCCCTATTTATAAACCCTAGGATCCCGTATGCTTTTTTTTAACAGCTTTATCTACCTGTCCTGCCACCTTCAGAGATTTGCTTATGTGGACCCCCAGGTCTCTCTGTTCATTTGCCCCCTTTAAGATTGTACCATCAGCTTATACTGTCTCTCCTTATTCTTCCTACCAAAATGCAACACTTGGCATTTCTCCACATTAAACCTCATCTGCCACGTTTCTGCCCATTTTACCAATCTGTTTAAATCCTCTTGGAGTCTGGTGCTATCCTCCTCACCATTAACTACTTTTCCTGGCTTAGTATCGTCTGCAAATTTGGAAATTGTGCTTCCTATATCCAGGTCCAGATGATTAATATAGATCAGAAAGAGCAGTGGTCCCAATACCGACCCCTGAGGGACACCACTACACACCTCCCTCCAGTCAGAAAAGCAACCGTTTACTACCACTCTCTGCTTTCTGTCTCCTCGCCAGTTCTGAATCCATGTTGCCACAGTCCCTTTAATACCGTGGGCTTCTATTTTGTTTATAAGTCTCTTATGAAGCCCACGGTATTTGTCAAATTCCTTTTGAAAATCTAGATAAACTACTTCTACTGCACTACCTTCATCCACCCGCTCAGTCACTTCACAAAAAAATTCTATTAGGTTTGTCAGATCTGCCGTTAACAAATCCGTGTTGACTGTCCTTTATTAGATCATATTTTTCTGAGTGAGAATTTATATTGTCCCAGATTATAGTCTCAAGAAGTTTCCCTACAACTGATCGGCCTGTAATTCTTCTGCCCCTTTTTGTACAGGGGAGTAACATTTACAACCTTCCAGTCCTCTGGCACCACTCCAGTGTCCAAAGAGGATTGAAAGCTTGTGGCCAGAGCCTCTGCTCTTTCCACCCTTGCTTCCCTCAGTAACCTCGGATGCATCCCGTCCGGACCAGGTGACTTATCTATGTTGAGCACCGACAGCCTTTTTAGTACCTCCACTCTGTTAATTTTTATCACATCCAATTTCTGTACACACGCCTGCGATATTGTGGCATTGGTTGCACCATCTTCTTTTGTAAAGACAGTTGCAAAGTACTTATTTAGTACATCAGCCTCAACAAGAAGATTTCCACTTGGGTCCCTAATTGGACCCACCCTACCTTTGACTAACCTTTTACTCTTGATATGCTTATAAAATACCTTAGGGTTTCCTGCTAATCTTTTCTTGTACAATCTCTTTGCCCCTCTTATTTCCCTTTTCACTTCTCCTCTGTACTTCCCATATTCCATTTGATTATTCTGTGTGTTTTGGACCTGACATTTGTCACAAGCCTCCTTTTTTTGTTTTATTTTAATCCCAATTTGTTTGTCTGATGACCTACCTGCCAATCTTTCTTTCCAATCTACAGGGAGTACAATTTCCAAGTTTGCAGATGATACTAAGCTGGCAAAAGTAGTAAACAGTGAGGAAGGTAGTAGCAGACTGCAAATGGATAGACTGGTAAAATGGGCAGACTTGTGGCAGATGAAGTTTAATGTGGAGAAATGCCAAGTGATGCATTTTAAAAGGAAGAACGTGGAGAGACAATATAAGCGAGATTGTACAATCTTAAAGTGGGTGAAGGAACAAAGTTTCATATTAGTAAATCTTTGAAGGTGGCAGGACAGGAAGATAAAGCTGTTAAAAAATCTTACAGGATGCTAGACTTTATAGATAGGGGCATAGACTACAGAAGTCAGGAAGTTAAGATGAACCTTTATATAAAACACTGGTTAGGCCTCAGCGAGAGACTGGGTTCAGTTCTGGGCCCCACACTTTAGGAAGGATGTCAAGGCATTGGAGAGGGTGCAAAGGAGATTGACCAGGATGGTACCAGGAATGAGGGACTTCAGTTATCAGGAGAGGCGAGAGAAGCCGGGATTATTCTCCCTGGAGCAGAGAAGGTTAAGAGGAGACTCAGTAGAAGTTTTCAAAGTTATGAGGGGATTTGATCGGGTGAACAAGGAGAAACCATTCCCACTGGCGGGTGGGTTGGTAACCCGAGGAGACCGAACTAAAATAGTTGTTAAAAGAAACAGAGAGGAGGTGAGGAGACATTTTTTTCACACAGCGAGTTGTTGGGCTCTGGAATCATTGACTGAAAGGCCGGTGGAAGCCGATTCGGCAACAACCTTGAAGAGAGTAGATAATTATTTGGGGAGGACAAGTTTACAAGGCAATTGGGAGAGCGTGAGGGAGCGGGATTGATTTAGAAGCTCTTTTCAAAGAGCCGGCACAGACACAATGACTCGAATGGCCTCCTTCTGTGCTGCATAATTCTATGATTATATATGTTGCCTATCAGCATCTGTCTATGTTTTCTATACCTAATTTTCTTGTGTATTATTAGCGTTACATTTATTGTCTACTGGGGTGAGGGGAGGTGGAAGAGTGAAATAGGTAAATAGGGAAAGAGAGACAAAGGGAGAGAGAAAGGGAGAAAAAGTCAGAGAGATAGAAAGACAGAGAAAGAGAGAGAGAGAGAGACAGGCACAATGTGAGAGTAAAAGGCGGAGAGACAGATACAAGGACAGCGAGAGAGAGAGAGCGATAGAGAGAGACAGCGAGACTGAGAGAGTCTAGGACAGACAGAGACAAGGAGAATTAGACAGAGAAACAGATAAATGCAGAGAGACAGAGATAGAGAAAGGCATACAGACAGATAGAGACAGAGAGACACACAGAATGGCAGGGAGAAAGAAAGAGACATGGACAGACAGATCGCAAGAAATACAGAGATAGAGTGAGAGAGATACCATTCTCACTTTTCTCTTTCATTATTTCTCTTAACTCTTTCTCTCATTCTCTCTCTTTCCCGCCCTCTAATTTTCTTTTTCTCTCTCTCATTCCCCCTTTCTGTCTTTCATCATCACTCTTACTCTTTCTCATTTTCTCCCGGTCTCGCCCTACCTCATTCTCTCTCTCTCTCGCTCATTCTTTCTCTCTATTGCTCCCTCAGGCCCAAAAGACGAAATACAACCCCCCAAAGTCTTCCTCTACGATGCATCCCATGACGAGCTGAGGACGGAGAACTGGGGAACATTGGTGTGTCTTGTCTCTGAGTTTTACCCGGACACAGTTGAGATAGAGTGGAAAATCGATGGTGCATTGGTGAGTATCTCTCAGAGTGTTAAAGAATCCACAATAAAATTATAAGAACATTTGGTGTAGCACATTTCAATGTATACTGTGAAGTTCAGCGACTGTGTAATTTGTTGACAGACGCAGCAGCTAATTTGCACACAGAGATGCCCAACAAATAGCAAATGAATGAGCGATCAATTTTATTTGGGGGATTGTTGGCCAATACAGCGAGAGAGAGAGAGAGAGAGAGAGAGAACAAGACACTCCCTTCTGTTTTCAAGTAGTGTCATGGGATCTTTAATCCCCGCAAGATTGGGGGGGGGGGTGAGGTTTAACACGTCACCCAAAGGACCACTTATCTGACAATGTAATGTCCCTAACCCCCAGCTCTGCACCGGAATATCAGCCTAGACTGTGATCACAGAGGCCACCGAGTGTGTCTTGAACGCCCAACTTTCCGTTTCGGAGGCGAAAGGGCGAGTGACTGATCCGAGCTGAGATACTGGGTCTGGTTGTAAGTTAACAACAGTACCAAAAATCTCACAACATGATGATGATCAATCATGGCTGCCCCTAACGTCACTTCCTGCCCCCAAACGGCTGCATTTGTGTTTCTGAGCTTGAATGAAAGAAACAAACTGCGATCACAAAATAGCAACGTGTTGGCCAGGCTCTGCCAGTCACTCTCTGTGCCAACTCTACTCTCCAACGCTGTGCCCTGGAGGCCTGTAGCCCAGTGGTTACAGTGGTCAGATTAGCTGAGAGCCACAGCCCCCACCCACCCACCGCTGAAGGTGGGGTGGGTCGGTGGGGACATGAAGCAGATCAGGAACCAGACAGTGAGATTGAGCCGTGGTCAATTTCTGTTGTGCAATTGGGGACATTGGAGAATGTGACTGTAGGCATGGTCAAAGAGGAAGGTCTTTAAGCGCTCTGGGATGCTGCCCGGGGTGGTGGGTGGGGGGGGGCAATATAAATGCAAGTTGTTGTTGTTTTCATGTGCGATCTGAAGATGCTGGAAGGAGAGAAAGGCGGAGGGAGGGAATCGAGTGAACAGGTGGCAAGAGTTTCGGGCGTAGTGGCTGAAAGTGCGGCTGCCGAAGGACAACCCGAGCGGTTGTGGAGACGGAGCGATGGTCTGCTCTGCCCTGAAATTGGTTCCGAGACATTTCCTAATGTGGATTTTTTTTTTACAGGTTAAGAATGAGGACAGCAGACCAATTCACACCGATTTAAAATCCCTCAAGTCAAAATCCAGCTCAACGTATTCTGTGACCAGTCGTCTCCGTCTGTCTGTAAACGACTGGGCTGATGCCAAACTTATAACCTGCCGCGTCACCCACTTTGGGGAAGGAACTACTATAACGAACCATGAGGCAAATGTGGAGCCGACTGGAGGTAAATATATATACATATGCATGTCCGTCACTGTCTAACACACACACAAAACCGTCTTCAGTTAGGCATCTGATTCACACAAAATCCAACATCTGTGGTCACAATCCCATCACCTGTCACCGTGACACACACGCACACGGAAACTACGCACGCAAAGATTCCTGAGCCAAGCTGGTCCTCAGTGTTCCAGGGTATCGGCTCATCGGCACGACACCCCTCAATTTAGAACACTGTCTATCAAGCTTTGCATAACTCAGACTGTTGAACTCATGGGAACATCGTAACAGGAGGAGGCATTTCAGCCCTTCGAGCCTGTTCCGCCATTCTATAAGATCACGGCCTGATCTGTACCTCAACTCCAATTTCCCGCCCTGGCCCCATATCCCTTGATACCCTGACCTAACAAACATCTATCCACTCCGTCAACTCATCAGTCAGGGTTTTGGCCTGGGAGCTGAGTCGGCTGAATCCCCAGCCCCTCCTCAATGACCTGTCTGCTCCCTCCCGAATCTGGCCAACCAGCCCGGCTATGTCAGACAGTGCGCTGTCTGGCTCAGGAACCCGGGTGACCTGGAGAGCCAAGAGAGAGAGTGAGAGAGAGATCATCTCAGCCCTCAGGTGATGCAGTACAATGCAGTAACTTTTTCTCATTGGTTTCCCCTCTAGAACTCTGTGCCTTCATTACAAAAGGTGAGTGTAAAGAACTGGATACTTGGTCTAGACATGAAGGGGATGGATTGAGGTAAGAGAGGGAGGTGGATAGAGACTTGAGGAGACAGGGATAGATTAATTAACTGACTTTTGTTGATTCTTAGATGATATTCAGGAGAGGATGGTGACTGGGAAATTAACCTATCTAATCTTGCTGTGTAAAAGTATCCTCTTTGGCGTTTTCATATCCTTCGTTGTATGGAAAATTAAGGTAGGAACAAAATAATTTCACTCAATAAGTGTGAGTCGTTGTGAGACTCTGAGATGTGTGGTGTGAGCGGTGATGTGTGAGCGTGAGTCGTTGTGTGAAATTAAACTAAATTAGGTTGTTTGCTGTTTCTTTTTCCCCCTCAGTCTCCTTCCGGAAAGCGATTTGACTGATTCTGAAACTGTGAAGGTTTTGAACAAGAAGCAGGGAGAGAGATCATCACATCTGAACCGCTTTCATTTAAATATTTTCTTGGCAGGGGATGGGGTTAGATTAGAGAGCTCCAGTGGGGGTGTGAGATGGAAAGAGCACCAGCGCACTGGGGAGTGAGCGAGAGAGAGAGAGAGCAGGGGGTTAGGTTTAGAGTAAAGAAATACAATTTTGAGGGGAATGAGCAAGAGCAAGGACAAGATGGATGGAGAGAGAGAGAAAGAGAGCAGGGAATGGGATTAGACCAGAGGGAGCTCCAGTGTGGCGAGATGTGCGTGTAGAATGACCTCTATTTCATGACAGAGCTTTCGCTATCGTAACCGTACAATTTAGTGACTCGCAAAGAGTAAGCGCTTTCTTGTAGTGGAATAGCTCCTGCGTTTATTAAACTCTTGATTTTTATTCACATTTAATTCCTGTTGATTACTTTTCTCTCATTGGCTTGAACGAGGCCTCAAAATGGCCGTCAGAAGTGGCTTCTGGACGCTGTCAAATGGCCGCCATAAGAGGAGGGGGTGAGGGGGGTGTCCCTAAATGACCGACAAAGTGGGGGCATCTCAAGTTGCCAACTAAGGGCAACTTGGGGGTAGTGAGCACTGCGTCTATTGTCTGTTTCTGTCTATATGTCTGTCTGCCTGTGTTATATCGTTGCCTAGAATCATAGAATATTACAGTTGACACATCCTGCCTCTGCCGGCTTTTTGAAAGAGATACCCAATCAGTCCAATTCCCCCACTCCCTCGTGCAAATCTTTCCTCTTCAAGTACCTCTCTAATTATTATTATTATTATTAATTCCCTTTTAAACGTTCTTATTGACTCTGTTTCCACCGCCCTTTCAGGCTGTGCGTTCCAGACCGTAACAACTTTCTGTGTGTAAAAAAAAATCCTCATTTCCCCACTGGTTCTTTTGACAATCAGCTTAAATCTACGTGCCCTGCTTGCCGACCCACCTGACAGTGGAAACGGTTTCTCAGTATGTACTCTATCAAAACCCCTCATGATTGTGACCTACATTAAATCTCCCGTTAACCTTGTCTGCTCCAAGGAGAACAATCCCAGCCTCGCTAGTGTCTCTACCAGAAAGGCAATATAAGCTGATGGTACAATATTAAACACGGTGAAGGAATAGGGAGACCTGGAGATTCATACAAGTAAATCTTTGTAGGTGGCAGGACAGGTAGATAAAGTTGTTAAAAAAAGATACAGCATACTAGGCTTTATAAATAGGGGCATAGAATACAAAAGTCAGGAAGTTATGACGAACCTTTATATAAAACTGGTTAGGCCTCAGCGAGAGACTGGGTTCAGTTCTGCGAACCACGCTTTAGAAAGGATGTCAAGTGATTAGAGAGGGTGCAAAGGACATTGACCAGGATGGCACTAGGAATGAGGGACCTCAGTTATCAGGCGAGGCCAGAGAAGCCGGGATTATCCTCCTCGGAGCAGAGAAAGTTAAGAGGAGACTTAATAGAAGTTTTCAAAATTATGAGGGGATTCGATAGGGTGAACAAGGAGAAACTATTCCTACTGGCGGGTGGGTCGTAACCCGAGGACCCCGATTTAAAATTGTTGTTAAACGGAGGGGAGGTGAGGAGAGTTTTTTTTTTACACACAGCGAGTTTTTCGGATCTCGAATGCATTGCCTGAAAGGGCGATGAAAGCCACGCTGACCCCTTTAACCATTCACTGTACATTCCCTCTCCTCGTTCTTCCTTCCAAAATGCATCGCCTCACACTTCTCTGTATTAAACTGCATCTGCCATGCGTCTGCCCATTTCACCAGCCTGTCTACGTCCATCCTCCTCCCTGTTTGCTACCTTCCCAAGTTTTGTGTCATCTGCAAACTTTAAACTTGTTATTTATACACAAGTCCCACGTTATTCAGCTTGTCTCTGTGTGTGTGTGTGTTTCTGCCCGTGCGTTGGTTTCTGTCTGTGTATTTCTCTGTATGTGTCTTTTTCTGCTTATCTGTGTATGTCTGTTCGTCGGTGTCTCTATCTCATACCCCTCCCCCCCCCTCAAGACATTTGGAAAGATTATGACTCAAATTTCCGAGACTGTTGATCTTGTAGAAAGAGCTCGGGTGTGCGGGTGACATAATTAGAGCACACGGATGTGGTGAGGTTGAGCTGTGGAAACTTCTGCACTTTCTGCGTGTTTTTAATGTGAGCAAAGTGTTTGCAGACACCTGCTATCTCTCCCCCCCACCCCCACCATCTCTCCTCAATCCACCCCCGACCTAATACTGCATTCACTCTGCTGTCTGTCTGTGCGTCTGTCTCTCTCTCTTTGTGTCTCCCACTCTCTTGTCTCTTTTTGTGTCATTCTCTCCATATCTCTCTGTTTATGTCTCTCTCTTTCTGTCGCTCTCTGTCTTTTTCTATCCATCTCTCTCTGTCTTTCTTTCACTTTTCGCTTTGTCTCCCTCTTTCTGTTATTATCCACTTGATGGGACAAAATGCAAGGTGTTTTTCTGTGTGTTTGGCTGTGTATCTGTCGGTGTGTCTATGTGCGAGTCTGTCTGTGTGTATGTTTGTCTGTGTGTGTTTCTGCCTTGTGTCACAAGATTGGTCTGGGTAAAGGAAGCCCTTCAGCCCATCTTCTCTATTCCCTCCAGAACCCCAACAGACCAACAGATTCCCCCCATCACAGTATCGAGCAGCTGTTTAAATGAGTCCCAGCGTCCAGTCCTCAAAGACCCGTCCGGTCTTTAATTACCCTCTGGGTAAAGATAAACTTCCTGGTCTCTGTCCTCAAATTGTCCTTTGCATCTCTAAACCTGTGTTCTCTTGTTCTACTGTCATGACACATCCTAAAGCATTGATCTAGGTTTACTTTTTCAATTCCATTTAAAATAAGATTCCAGGCATTTGATACAGCGCCTGATCACATCGTCGAGGCGTCTCAAAGTGCTTCACAGGATCTACTGCAAAGTGTAGTGACTGTATTTTGTGGGTGAAACACAGCAGTCATTTTCCGCACAGCGACGGTCCCACAAACAGCCGTGGAGCGAGCGACCAATTTTGTTTGGGGGAAATGTTGGCCAGGTCACCAGAGAGAAATTCTCTTTTCAAATTGAACCACAGGAGATCTTTAGCGTTCATCTGAACAGGTCCTCCCCCCTCCCTGGACTGCACTGGAGCATCAGCACACACTGTGTGATTCCAGCTCCCAACACGGGGCTTGAACCCACAACCTTGTGATTCAAAAGGCCAGATCCCGATGACTGAGCCACGCTGATACAGTAAGCCTCTGGGTGGAATAATGAGGGACCAGGTTTGCGAGTACTTATACAGGCGTGGGTTAATTATGGATAGATATATAACAATCACATCCTCTCTCGTGTCTCCACGTAACTAAAGTCCCTCATCGCTGGTACCATTCTGGCAAATCTCCCCTGCACCCTCTCCTAGGACTTGACATCCTTCCTAAAGTGCTATAGATTTCCTTGAGGTAGTTACGGCAAATGTAGATCAAGGCTGTTCTATGGGATGTAGCATATCTGGACTTTCAAAAGGTATTTGATGAGATGTCGTATATAGGTTGAAGAAGAAACAATGCACACAGAGAATAGGGGGAAATGTGATGATTTGGATAGTAGGATGGTTGAAGAATAAAAAGCAGATTAGGGCTCTCTCATTCACTCTTTGTCTCCGAGTCTGTCTTGGTTTCTGTTGCTCTCCAACTCTTCGGCTCTCTTGAAAGAGTATGTGATAGGCATGAGAGAGAGAGAGAGAGAGAGAGGGGAAACAAGCAGGGAAGAGACAGGGACTGAGAGATAGACAGAGAGATACACACAGAGAGTGAGACAAAGAGAGAGAGAGATCAAGAAAAAGAGAGTGGGAGAGAGAGCGAGAGATACAGAGATTCAGACAGAGAGAAAGGAGGCAGACAGACAGACAGACAGACAGAGAGAGACAGATGGATGAAGATACAGAAAGAGGGAGAATAATAGGAAGATAGGAGAGCGGCAGACACAGAGACAGAAAGGAGATCGACAAATCGAGACAGATAGAGGGAGAGAAAAGAAACAGAGAGAAACCGGAGAGAAACCAACAAAGAGACACAGATGGAGGGAGAGACCGAGACATCCTTGACTGTGACCCCAAAACCCCACAACATGGAGCTCAGACTCAGAACCTTGAGCCCAGAGCCCGAGCTACAAGCCTGACACCTGTTAACCACAGAGCCAAAACAGCACAGCTCCACACAATAACAGGATGTCACCGGCCACACTCAGCACAAATCGCAAAGAGCAGATGTGGGCAGATAGTTTGCTGCTGGTTTATCCGACCTCAAATTTCCCTTATGCTCTGTGCTCTCTAAACTAGGTCAAGGGCTGGTGTCTCCACCCTCCCCCACCCCACCACCACTCTCTCTCTCTGTGTCCCTCGGGGAGATATCTGCCCTCTGTTGGCCAGTTGGCGTGATGATCTACTCATTCTCGCTCTCACGTTCTGTCTCTCTGTCGACATTGCTGCATTCTGTTGGAGAGTACAGGTGCCAGTGTGAAGCGGGGAGGGAGGTGGAGTGGCAGGAAGGGTGTGTGAGGAGTGAGGTTTATGAGTGAGCTTTCAGTCAATCTCTCTCACTGTGCTCATCTCTGGCTGCGCAGTAATACATCCCCTCCTGCGGCGCTCTCACCATTGAGATGTTCAGCCGAGATGTTGTCTGATCTTGCGATATGATCTCAAAATTACTCTGCTCGTCCTTCTCCATAGTCGGTGGGTTTGGATAGTAGGTAAAGCCGATCAGTCTCAGGCCCTCTCCATCTCTCTGCTGGTACCAGAGCATTATAGGTTTACTGCTGTCATTCTGGTGGCAACCCAATAGCACAGAGTCGCTCTCTCTCACCACCGTCCTCGGAGGCCACTGATAGATCAGCTCGGCCGTCACCCAGCCTGAGGGAGACACAAGCGTTGAAACAAAAGTGGGACTCGCTGCAAAGGGTAGTGACTGTGTGTTGTGGGCCAACACAGCAGCCACTTCCAGGCAAACAGCCGTGACGATTGTATCTGTCGGCCAGACACTGGGAGAGAGACATTGGTGTGTAGCGGGAGGGAGGGTGGGGTGTCACTGCTGGGGTTTGACCAGCTAGAACCTGACGGTTTCTCCACCCCAAAATTGCGAGCGCTGCCTGGCAAGCTTCCCGCTGCTTGGAACCCAAGCCGTCAGTCGGGACTTTGTCTTGGAGCCGAGCGGGAAGAATCCCACCTGCCCCCCAAGACCTGTCTCCGGCCAGGCTCAGGAACTGCAGGTTAAAGAGAGAGACACACATACACTCACTCAGACACAGAGAGACAGAGATACGCAGAGAGTCTGGGAGAGTGGGGTGTGATATGGATATGAATCTCAGTGGAATTGAGAGCCTGAGGGAAATTCAGAGCTGTTGAGAGATACTCACAGGGCCAGAAGATGGAGATCAGAGAGACAGTGAGAAAGGACAGACTCATTGTTTGCAGAGACTTGGATTAACCTTGGGAACCTCACAACCTCCCTCTCTCTCTCTCTCTCACTCACACTCTCTCTCTGTGATGTGAATCTCTGGCAGAGTGAAGGTAACCCTCGCACCTCATGTGATGTGAAGATGTGGGTGTTTGGGTGATTTAGTGAGGCCACAGCCTCCCCCAGGGGATAGTCTGGGAACTGCAAGGTGCAGACTCACAGATAAGAGATAAAGAGTGAACAGAACGGAGAGTGAGCGAGATGGAGTGATGGTCGACTGCTGCTCTGAAACCGACCAAATTAGAGCTCCTGTAAGTTAAGAGTTAAATGATAATATTGATTCTTTCATTTGTTGTAGCGTTTTATCCGGTCTTCTAGACGTCTCAATAGCACTTCACAGATTACACTGTAAAAGTGTAGTGACTGTATGTGTTGTGGGCGAAATGCGGCAGCCAATTGCGCACAGCAGTGTCCCACAAACAGTTGTTAATTGAGTGACCAAATTATTATTGTTTCATTTATTTTTTTGAAGGGGTTATTACCCCCGGAAAAATGATCTGCCAATCGACTAACAACTGGGTTCCTACTTACTGACCAGAGGCGCGCGCGCGCGTGTGTGTGTGTGCGGCGTTAGGAAACTTAAAACTTTTCGCCCTGACCCACCCGGGAATCAAATCCAGATCCTCTTGCTTGCAAGGCGAGTGCTCTACCCACTGAGCCACAGGACTCCACAATAAAATAACTGTGAGAAGGATCAAATTACCTTGTGTCACAGAATCATTTGTAATTCAGTGGGAAAAAAGTGATTTGACTACCGCATTTCACGCATAGTCACTACACTTTACAGTATATTCTGTGAAGAGCTTTGAGATGTCTCAACGACGTGATAAGGTGCAGTATCAAATGCAAGAACTATATTATTATAATAAGTGTAGTGTGTGTTTTGTGCGCTCCGAGACGCTACCCTGCACGGAGAGCACTATATAGGTGCAAGTTGTTGTTGTTGTCTCGTTGGCAGTGTCCCACAAACAGTGGTGGATTGAGTGACCAAATCATTCTTATTAACTAGATATTTTTAGCAGATTATTACCCCGGGAAAGCGATCCGCCAATTGACTAACAACCGGGTTCCTTTTTACTTCTCGGTAAATTGAGGGGTAAGGAAACTTGCCTAAGGAATCGAACCCAAGACCTCTCGTTTGGTGAGGCGAGTGGTCTAACCATGACACTATGGAACTCCTCATCCAACCTCCGAACATGGCCTGCCCTGATTTAGGCACCAATTATTTGCCAAATAATGCAAGTGACGAGGCCAGAATGTTGTCAGTGTGAGGAACCTGCTATGTGTGATTGCAGGGGTGGCTGCCCACAACAACAACAACTCACATTTACACAGCATCCCTCACGCAAGGAGAGTCCCAGAGCGCTTGACAGTGACGGAGCACAGTGCTGAGCCGAGGGGAGGAGGAGGGGGGAGGCGGCGAGGGGAAAGTCTTCAGATATGACCTGAAGATGGGGAAGGAGGGATAGAGTGAGTAAGTTCCAGAGTTTGGGGGCGTGTTGGCTGAAAGCTACCTCCAATGGTGGGGGCAGACGCGAGGAATGACCAGGTGGCCGGTGCTAGTCGAGGGGAGATGCCGGGTGCTGGATTGGGGAGTGAGGAGGTCACAGAGTTTGGAAGGTGCCACGAGTGTGAGAGGATCTTGAAGTCGATCCACTCGTTGATGGGGAGCCAGTGGAGCCTGGGCCAGAACTGGTGAGATGAGGGTACGGAGTTTGGTCCAGGTCAGTATGCGGGCGGGAGAGTTTTGAATGAGATGGAGCTTGTGAATGGTGGAGCTGGGGAGACCGGCGAGGAGTGTGTTGGGACAAATACTAGCGGGAGATGACAAACCCATGCATGAGGATTTTGGCTGCGTTTGGGGTAAGGTACGGTCGGAGGCGAGCAATGTGGCGGATGTGGAAGAAGGTCATGGACCGGACTGTTTTGGGACACTGCTGTGCGCAATTGGCTGCCACATTTCGCCCACAAAACATACATTTACTACACTTTTACAGCCTCTCAGCCCCGAGGCTCTGGAACTCTATCCCCCAGTGCCTTCGCCTTGCTTCCTCCCTTTCCTCCTTCAAGGCCGGTCTCAAGACCTTTCTCTTTGACCGTGCCTTCAGCTCCCCTCTTGACCCTCCTCGCTCCCTCCCTTCCCTCCCTCACCCAACTGTCCAGCGCCTTGGGACGTCCTCCCGACGTGAAAGGCGCTCTATAAATGGAATCATGTTGTTGTTGTTGTTGGATGTGGGGGAGGAAGGACAGCTGGGGGTCGAACCGGACACCTAGTATGCGCACTGGTTCGGTGAGTCTGAGGGAGAGCCCAGGGAGGTTGAGGAGTGACTAATCGAGACTTTAAAATGATGAAGGGTTTTGATGGTGTCAAATAGTCAATTCACTGATCAGTAGCAAGGAAATGAGTTTAATAAATGAGCAAGTGGGGATGTTAGGAGAGACGTTTTATAGAACCATAGAATCATACAATTTTACAGCACAGAAGGAGGCCATTCGGCCCATCGTGTCTGTGATGGATCTTTGAAAAGAGCTATCCAAATAAATCCCACTCCCCCGCTCTCCCCATAGCCGTGGAAACTTGTCCTCCCCAAATAATGATCTACTTCTCTCTTAAAAGTGGTTATCGAATCGGCTTCCACCAGCTTTTCAGGCAACGCATTCCAGATTCCAACAACTCGCTGTCTGAAAACATTTCTCCTCACCTCCCTTCTGTTTCTTTTAACAACTATTTTAAATCGGTGTCCTCGAGTTACCGACCCACCCGCCAGTGGGAATAGTTTCTCTTTGTTCACCCTATCGAACCCCCTCATAATTTTGAAAACTTTTATTAAGTCTCCTCTTAACCTTCTCTGCTCCAAGGAGAGTAATCCCGGCTTCTCTACCTCTCCTGATAACTGAAGTCCCTCATTCCTGGTACCATCCTGGTAAACCTCCTCTGCACCCTCTCCAATGCCCTAACATCTTTCCTAAAGTGCGGTGCCCAGAATTAAACGCAGTCTCCAACTGAGGCCTAAAAATTATAAATATTCAACATAACCTCCTGACTTTGTATTCTATACCCCTATTCATAAAGCCCAGTATCTCGTAATCTTTTTCAACAGCCTTATCTACCTGTCCTGCCACCTTCAGAATTTGCAGATGTGGACCCCCAGGGCTCTCTGTTCATTTGCCCCCTTTTAGATTGTACCATCAACTTAGTCTCTCCTCATTCTTCCTACCAAAATGCAACACTTTGCATTTCTCTGCATTAAACCTCATCTGCCACGTTTCTGCCCATTTTACCAATCTGTCTAAGTCCTCTTGGAGTCTGGCTTTTCCTCCAGTCCCCGCACTGTCTCGTGCGGTGTTCCTCAGGGCTCTGTCCTTGGTCCCCTCCTCTTCACCCTCTATATGCTCCCCCTGTGGTGACATCATCCGCAGACATGGGGTTAACTTCCACATGTATGTGGATGACACCCAACTCTACCTTTCCTCCTCTACCCTCAACTCCACGACCCCCGATGTCCTGACAGCTGTCTGTCCGACATTGAGTCCTGGACGAGACAACTTTCTTCAGCTCAACGTGCGCAAAACTGAGGCCCTCCTGATTGGCTCACGTCAGCGCCTCCGCACCTCAGGCACTGACAGCATCAGCATCCAAGGCCGCACTCTCCACCTCTCAAACCCAGTCAGGAACCTCGGTGTTCTGTTCGACCCTGATATCCGCGCCACAACTGGCACCGCCTTCCATCACCTCCGGAACATCGCCAGACTACGGCACTACCTCACCCCTCACGCGGCTGAAACTCTGGTCCACACCTTTATCACCTCAAGGCTGGACTATGGGAACTCTCTTCCCGGCACAAGCTGCAGGTCATTCAGAACTCTGCAGCTCGTATACTGTCCCGCCCCAGGCTTCGCGACCACATCACTCCCACCCTCGCTCGCCTCCACTGGCTCCCCATCCCCCAGAGGATCGAATTCAAGATCCTCATCCTCACCTACAAGGCCATTCACGGCCTCGCTCCCTCCTACCTCTCCAACCTACTATCCCCCTACCTACCTGCCCGTACCCTCCGTTCCTCTGGCTCCGGTCTGCTCCGCGTCCCCCGCCCCAACCGCCCTACCATCGGTGGCCGGGCCTTCAGCCTCTCAGCCCCGAGGCTCTGGAACTCCATCCCCCAGTGCTTTCGCCGCTTCCTCCCTTTCCTCCTTCAACGCTGGTCTCAAGACCTTTCTCTTTGACCGAGCCTTCAGCTCCCCTCTCGACTCTCTTCCCCCTCCTCGCTCCCTCCCTCCCCTCCCCTCACCCTGACCATTTCCCCCTTGCTCGGATCCTGACCCAACTGTACAGCGCCTTGGGACGTCCTCCCGACGTGAAAGGCGCTCTATAAATGGAATCTTGTTGTTGTTGTTATTGTGGTGCTATCCTCCTCACCATTAACTATTTTTCCTAACTTAGTATCTTAGTATCAGAAAGAGCAGGGGTCCCAGTACCGACAGAGAGACTGAGACTGAGAGACACACAGAGAGGGTGGGTTGAAAGGGCAGTGTCTGACCCCCGTTAGACAGAGAGTGTCAGGCCTGGGCTGTGGGATTTCCCTGTTTCTCCGGCTCCAGGGATCAATCTCAAAGGTTATTGCTGACAGTGGAGATGTGAGCAGACAGCTGGTCAGGTCAGTCCAGAGTTAAACATTAACTCACTCTCGGAATCTGAGTGAGAGAGACAGAGAGAGAGAGAGAGAGAGAGGGACTGACTGAGTGAGAGACTGAGTGAGACAGAACGAGAGACTGAGTGAGAGACAGACTGAGAGAGAGAGACTGAAAGAGAGAGAAGTACTGAATGACAGAGAGACTGAGAGAGACTCAGAGTGAGAGAGACTGAGACTGAGAGAGAGAGAGACTGAGAGAGAGAGAGTGAGACTGAGAGAGAGAGTGAGACTGAGAGAGACTGAAATTTTTCCAGTTTCTATGACCTGAAATTTTTTCTTCAATTGTGGAAAATTTTGAATACCGAGATGGAGAGGTGAGGGGAGAGACTGAGAGAGAGAGAGAGAGAGAGAGAGACTGAGAGAGTCAGCAGGTCATCGAGTTATGGGGGTGCGGGATGAGTGATTGAAAGAGAGATGGCGGAGACAGATGGAAGGAAAGAATTAGTGAGTGAGTGACGGACTGAGTGAGTGAATGAGTGAGTGAGGAAGAGAGTGAAGAGGGAAGTAGTGAGCAAGTGAGAAAATGGGTGAGTGAGTGAGTGAAGAAGTGAGGGGAATGTGTGAGTGAGCAAGTGAGTGAGCGACCGAGTGAGTGAGCAAGGGACGGAGGGAGGCAGTGAGTGAATGAGTGAGTGCGGGGGCGAGTCAGGGATCGAGGGAGTGAGCGCGCGTGCCAGTGAGTGAGGGTGTGAGTGTGCGCGCGAAGGAAGTGAGAGAAGGCTGGAGGGAGCGAGACTCAAGGTGGTTGCTGCTGTAGTTGTTGTTGCGGTTGTCGTTGTTGTCATCGTCTCTCCCCGCAGTGTTTCAAGGGAGGTTTACGAGGCAGCCATGCTGCTGAGCGCGGTTGGAGATGCGTTGGGCTATCGGAACGAACAGTGGGAATACTGCGAGAGCGGGGAGCAGATTCATTCCGAGCTGGAGGGGCTGGGGGGCCTGGGCAACATTCACGTCTGTCTGCCACACTGGCCTGTCAGTGACGACACTGTACTACACCTCGCCAGCGCTCAGGCTCTCAACACTGGTACACGATCACAGTGGGGGTGGGGGTGTGGGGGTGTGGGGGGGGGGTGGAGAGAGAGAGCGAGAGAGTGTGTGTGGGAGAGTGAGACAGAGAGAGGGTGAGAGTGTTGTGTGAGATACAGTGTGTATAAGTGTGTGTGTGTCAGAGTGAGACAGTGTGTGTGAATGTGTGTGACAGTGTGTGTGTCAGTGAGACAGAGTGTGTGTGTAAGACAGAGGGTGAGAGACAGTGTGTGTGAGATACAGTGTGTGAGTGAGAGAGTTTGTGTGAGAGTGTGTGTGTGTGAGAGGGTGTGTGTGATATAGTGTGTGTGAGAGTGAGATAGAGAGCATGTGTGTGAGTGTGTGTGAGATACAGTGTGTGTGAGTTTGTGAGAGAGTGAGTGTGCGAGAGAGACACAGAGTGTGTGTGTGAGAGAGTCAGAGAGTGTGTGTGTGTGAGAGTGTGTGTGAGATTCAGTGTGTGGGAGAGTATGTGTGAGAGAGTGTATGAGTATGTGAGTATGTGAAAGCGAATGTGTTACAGAGAGAGCTTGTGTGTGAGAGTGTGTGTGAGAGTGTGTGTGTGAACGAGAATGTGTGCCAGAGACTGTGTGAGAGCGTTTGTGAGATATAGCATTTGTGAGAGCGAGTGTGAGGGAGTGTTTGAGAGAGAGTGAGAGCCAGAGTGTAGGGTGCTATATAAATGCGAGTTCTAGTTTTTTTGTTGATCACTGTAAAAGAGTGTGGTTTGGAGAAGATTAGCGGCTGATGTGGTTGGGAGGCGTTGGGGAAGGGGGGGTGTGTGCGGGGGATTTGGGGGTGAAGTGCTGGGAGACACGGAGATTAATGATAAATTATGATTCTCATCCAGGGAAAGATGGAGATGCACTGCTGCATGAGTTTGCTGCTCAATATGTTGAAGCCATGAAGGACATGAAGGGCAGGAAGCCAGGTCCCACCAGCATCCTTGGTAAATAAAGCCTGGACACATATATCCTCTTGGGGTGGGTGGGGGTGGCAGAGGGGGAGTGGCGGGGTCTCCGTGGAGCTCAGTTGGCTCCAAAGTGACCCAGCCCTGAGGACAACCGCAGCCCCAGGTTGTGAAAGTCTCCTCTCACTCTGATGGCTTTGGTTTGGGTTCTGTGTCTCTTGAGACAGGTTTCGGTTGCGTTGGTTGTGTTATGCTGGGATGGGTTAGGTTGGCGTTTGGGGTGGGTTGGGTTGGAAGTTGGCTAGATTGGCCTGGGTTAGGCTGGGGTTGGGTGGTCTATGCTGAGTTGGGTTTGGGCTGGGGTTGGGTGGCCTATGCTTAGTTGGGTTTGGGCTGGGTTGGGTGGACTGGGGTTGGGTTGGGGTTGAGTGGGTTGGGTTGGGTTTCAGTGGGCTATGCTTGGTTGGATTGGGCTGGGGTTGAGTGGCCTATGCTGGCCTTAAAGGTCAAATCTATTAAAGATCTCCTGCGGTGCTGTCGGGAGGGAAAAGAGAGTGTCTTGCTCTCTCTCTATCTCCCAGTATCCTGGCAGATAAAACCACTCACTCGCTTCATGACTGTTTGCTGGAGCTTCACTGTGCGCAGTCATCTGCTGAATTAAACAGACAGTCACTACACTCACAGTGAATGCTGGGAAACATGGGTGAAAAGGTCAGGTATAACGGTTAACCTTGTTGATCCTGGCTTTCTGTCAATCAGGAACTTCACAGCTGAGACCCGGAGAGCCGTTGGGTTTCCAGATTCCCTTTAACCCGAAAGGAGTTGGATGTGGTGCAGCAATGAGATCGATGTGTATCGGTCTGAGGTCAGAGAGGCGTGAGAGAGACTGCGAGAGAGAGAGAGAGAGAGAGAGCTGGGAAAGATAGAGATCGAGAGAGAGAGAGAGACTATATGCGTACAGAGAGAGAGAGTGACTGACTCACTCTCTGTGTGTGTGTCAGGTATCCACGCCCGGAGCAACTCCCACACCTGGTGAGGGTCAGTATAGATTCCGGCCGAATGACACACAACCACCCAACAGGTCAGTGCATCCCCACCCAACTATCCCTACACAACTACCCCCCAACTAAACTTCCCCCACTACTCCCCCCAATTACCCCTCCCAACTACCCCCAACCACCCACCCCAACTACCCACCCAAATAGCCCCCCAAATACCCCACCCAACTACCCCTACACAACTACACCGCAACTACCCCCTCACTACTACCCCAAATTACCCCTATAACACCAACTACCCCCAACCACCCACCCCAACTACCCCCCAACCACCCCCCAACCACCCACCCCAACTACCCCCCAACCACCCACCCAAATAGCCCCCAAATACCCCACCCAACTAACCCCCATCTACCCCCACCCAACTACCCCCCCAACTACCCCCACCCAACTACACCCCTAACTATCCCTCCAACAACCCCAAAACTAATCCCCCAACTGCACTCCAACTATCACCCCCAACTAACTCCCTAACTACCCCCACCCAATTGTTGTTATTATGTAATTTGTTGTTGTCAGGTTACCTGGGGGCTTTGGCCTCTGCTCTCTTCACCTCCTACGCTGTACAGGGGCGTCCGTTGTGGGAGTGGGGTATCAGCTTGCTCCAAACGCTCCCCCTCGCTCTGGACTACGTCACCAGCTCCAGGAGAGATGTCCCGGAAAACCTTGCCGCCTGGAATTACTTCCCAGAAAAGTGGGAATGGTAAAGATAGATATAATCCGCATGTTTTGGAAGCTAACATGGCAGCCTACCGCCCCCCCCACCCCCATCCCGTCCTGCTCACAGCGATGTCCCCGCAAACTGCCGTGAAGCGAGCGCGCAGTTTTATCTGTCGCCCAGGACGCTGTGAGAGAGAGAGGAACACCCTTCTCTCCCCCTCCCTCCAGGATGTTTGACCCACGTGGAAACCCATCACCCTGACCAGCCGGGTGTCTGACACGCACGGAAACCCATCACCGAGACCAGCCGGGTGTCTGACACGCACGGAAACCTGTCACCGAGACCAGCCGGGTGTCTGTCACACATGGAAACCTGTCACCGTGACCAGCCGGGTGTCTGTCACACACACACACGGAAACCCGTGACCGTGACCAGCCGGGTGTCTGACACACACACATGGAAACCCGTCACCAGCCGGGTGTCTGACACACACACGGAAACCCGTCACCGTGACCAGCCGGGTGTCTGACACACACACACACACACACACGGAAACCCGTCACCGTGACTGACACACGGGGAGTCGTGTGTTGATGGGTGTTGTGGGAGTGAGGTGCAGTGACTGAGTGACTATTTCTTGCAGGTATTTGAAGCAGCGGGGGCTGGAGGCGGGATCTGGGGGGCCGCGGTTCCCCCCGGTGTTCGGCCCCCCCGAGCGGGACGTGGAGTACAGGACATTCTCGCTGGACGGGTGGGCGGGACGAAGTGGCCACGATGCTCCCATGATAGCGTACGACGCACTGCTGGGGGCGGGCGCATCCTGGGAGGAGCTGTGCTCGCGAGCGGCCTTCCACGGAGGTCAGTGCTCACGTGGGCTCACACTCGGTCACCACTCACACTGCTCACCCCCGCCCACTCATACTCACACCCACTCATACTGCTCACACCCACTCACACTGCTCATACCCCACTCACACTGCTCATACCCACTCACCGGTCACACTCACCGCTCACACCTGCTCACAGTCACACTGCACGCGTTCACACTGCTCAAACCCGCATTGTCTGTCTGTCTCTCTCGCTCTCTGTCTCTCTCAGTTTCTCTCTCAGTCTCTTTTTCTCTCTGCCCAGTCTCTCCGTGTCTCTCCATCTTGGTATGTCTCTCACCGTCTCTCTCTCTCTCTCCTCGTCTCTCTCTCTCTCTCTCTCAGACTCCATGTTTCTCTTTCCAGGTGACAGTGACTCCACAGCTGTTATCGCCGGCTGCTGTTGGGGGGCGATGTATGGACTGTCCTCGGTCCCCGAAATAAACCACAAGTCACTGGAATACCGGGATCGCTTGGTGCAGGCAGCAAGACAGCTCCACCAGTCCGCCTGGGAATAGTACCCTCACCCCACCCCAACCATTCCCTCCCCTCTGCTTTTGTAATAGATACAGTGAAATCGATATTACCCGATCTTTCTGGGAAACCCACAGCCATTCTTTTCACGCTGCTGCCCAAGTTTCCATTTTGTTTCCCCGATCTATAACGCTCCATGCAGCTTATTGCTAAGTGGCCTCTGTCACAACATTTCCCCTTTCGCGGTACCTGATGGAGCCGTATTTGTTCAGTTAATTGACCAACACTGATAGTAGGCATGTCACGTCTCCTAATTGGTGTTCAGAGGATTACACAGCACAGAAGGAGGCCATTCGGCCCATCATGTCTGTGCCGGTTCTTTGAAAAGAGCTATGTAATTCAATTCCACTCACCCGCGCTCTCCCCATAGCCCTGCAAACAGTCCTGATAATTGAAGTCCCTCATTTGTGGTACCATTCTGGTAAATTTTGTTCGTGCCCTCTCCAATGCCTTTACATCTTTCCTAAAGTGCGGTGCCTAGAACTGAACACAGTCTCTAGCTGAGGCCTAATCAGTGTTTTATAAAGGTTCATGATCATCAACAACAACAACAAGATTTCATTTATAGAGCGCCTTTCACGTTGGGGGGACGTCCCAAGGCGCTGGACAGTTGGGTCGGGACCCGAGCAGGGGGGAAATGGTCAGGGTGAGGGGAGGGAAGGGAGGGAGCGAGGAGGGGGTAGAGAGTCGAGAGGGGAGCTGAAGGTATGGTCGAAGAGAAAGGTCTTGAGACCGGCCTTGAAGGAGGAAAGGGAGGAGGCGGCGAAGGCACTGGGGGATAGAGTTCCAGAGCCTCGGGGCTGAGAGGCTGAAGGCCCGGCCACCGATGGTAGGGCGGTTGGGGCGGGGGACGCGGAGCAGACCGGAGCCAGAGGAACGGAGGGTACGGGCAGGTAGGTAGGGGGATAGTAGGTCGGAGAGGTAGGAGGGAGCAAGGCCGTAAATGGCCTTGTAGGTGAGGATGAGGATCTTGAATTCGATCCTCTGGGGGATGGGGAGCCATTGGAGGCGAGCGAGGGTGGGAGTGATGTGGTCCCGAAGCCTGGTGCGGGACAGTACATGAGCTGCAGAGTTCTGAATGACGTACAGCTTGTGGAGGGAGGTCCGGGAAGGCCGGCGAGGAGAGAGTTCCCATAGTCCAGCCTTGAGGTGATAAAGGCGTGGACCAGAGTTTCAGCCGCGTGAGGGGTGAGGTTGTGCCGTATTCTGGCGACGTTCCGGTGGTGATGGAAGGCGGTGCCAGTTGTGATCACTTCCTGACTTTCACATTCTGTGCCCCTATATATAAAACCTAGCACCCCGTACATTTTGTTTAATAACTTTATCTAACTGTCCTGCCACCTTCAAAGATTTATTGATATGAGCCCCTAAGGACTCTCTGTTCCTTCACCCCTTTAAGGTTCTACCATCAGCTTATTTGCTTACGTGGACCCCCAGTTCTCTCTATTCATTTGCCCCCTTTAAGATTGCACCAACGGTTTATATTGCCTCTTCTCATTCGTCCTCCCAAAATACATCACTTTGCATTTATTCACATTAAACTTCAGCTGCAACGATTCTGTCCATGTCCATTGAGAGTCTGCTACTACCTTCACTGTTCACTACTTTTCTTAGCTTAGTATCATCTAAAAACTTGGAAATTGTACTCCCTGCAGCCAGGTCCAGGTCGTCGATATAGACCAAAAACAGCAATGGTCCAAATACTGACCGCCTGGGGGACTTCACTGTACATTTCCCCCCAGTCACAAAAATAACCGTTCACCACCGCTCTTTGCTTTTTGTCTACCAGCTCATTCTGTTTCCATAATTCCCTTTAATAAAGTGGGCTTCTATTTTACGTACAAGTCTCTTATGAGGTACTTTATCAAACACGTTTTGAAAACATGGAGTCCTGGAGCTCAGTGTTTAGAGCAGTCGTCTCGCAAGCGAGAGACCTGGGTTTGATTCCCAGTCAGGGCGAAACCTTGGGCAAGTTTCCTTACTCCACACGTCTAATAATAATCCTTCAAGAAAATTAAATAAGTAGTAATTTACTCAATCCACGACTGTTTGTGGGACAATGCTGTGCGCAAATGGCTCCCGCGTTTCGCCCACAAATATACAGTGAATTCACTTGACCTTATATTCTGTGAAGCGCTTTGAGACGTCTACAAGTATTATTACTATTACTATTATCGGTAGGATAGAACATTGGGCAAGTGTTTTTTCTTACTCCACACGCCTAGGTTTACTTACCGAGCAGTAAGTTGGAGGCCGGTTTGTTAGTAGATCGGCTTTTCTGGGAGTAATATTGCCTTCAAAAAACCCTTGAAACCCTGGGCGAGTTTTCTTACTCCACACGCCTAATAACAAAAAAATTGGTCGTTTCAATCCACGACTGTTTGTGGTGGCAATTGGCCGCCGCGTTTCGCTCACAAACGTACAGTCAATTGACTTTACAGTATATTCTGTGAAGCGCTTTGAGACGTCGAGAAGACATGAAAAGCGCGATACCAAAGGCAAGGATTATTATTACTATTATTATACACGTGGAAGTTAACCCCGTGGCGGCGGATGACATCTCCGAGAGGGAGCACATAGACGAGGAAGAGGAGGAGGGGAGAGGTGGGGGTGGGGGCAAGGATGGATCCCTGGGGTAGCCCGCAGGTGCACTGGGTGGACCGGCGAAGAAAAAGCCATTGGCAGAGACGTGGTCCTTGGCGGTTCGTAGAGGGCAGCGCTCGAACCAGTCACTACACTTTGCAGCAAAGCCCCTGCAAAGCCTCCTCTCAAGGAGGCGATGAGGCATCGTGCGCCAGCCGCGTGGGTTATCAATAATTATCACTGCACGATGCCCGCGCGCATCAAACATCCATTTAGTACCAATACTTTGATGCATTTTATACAAACAGACGGTAAATTACTGATTTATTATTGTTGTTATTAATTATTATAATTGTTGTCGGTAAATAATTATTATTATTCTGTGTCGTGTGTACGTGGCAGTGCCCCTCACTATTACTGTGTGTGAGTGTGTAAATGACAGCCTCACTATTGCTATTCAGTGTGTGTGGCGGTACAGTGTCACTGACCATCACTGACCGCTCCTCTCGCGCTGACCATCACTGACTGAGGCTGCGCGTCTCCCGCTTTTATAGCCTCTGGGTGTCCGGCTGCCGCCACGCATGCGCATTGGCTCCTCACCCCTGGTCCGGCTCGAGCTCCCGCTCGCGCGCCTGCGCACTTCCCCCTTTCTCCAACCGTCACTTTCCCCGCGCGCCTCCCGCCCCACCCCCGCCTCGCCATTGGTTGGTTTGACCCGCTCCCCTACCCTCGCGCACGCGCACCTCTCGCCGCCCCTCGCGCTGCTCCTGTCTCGGGAGGTGACCGTTGGTCTCCGCTCCGCGCGCGCAGCACTTTCCCGCCCATTGTGTCGACGGGACGACGTCCGCCTTCACTCCGACCCCATAACTGGTGATGAGTTACTGTGATCGGCGCTATTCTACACACTGTGTGTTATTGTATATTATTATGGCATTGACCGTCACTGAGCCGCACCGCCCCCTCTCTCTCTCCTCTCACTCTCCCCCCTTCCCCTCAGCCTCTCCCACACTCACTCACTCCTCCCTCCACCAACCGCCACATTTCTCCCTCTCTCTCTCCCCCTCACCTTCTCTCACACTCTTTCTCTATCTCTCCATCCCCTCTCTCTCCCTCTCCCTCACCCCTTCTCTCTCTCTCTCTCTCGCTTCCCCTCTCTCTCTCACGACGCTCTTTCTCTCATTCCCTCTGCCTTTCCTCTCTCCCTCCATCACCCCTCTGCCTTTCTCTCTCTCTTATTCCGTCCCTCTGTCTCCCTCCCCCTTCCTCTCTCTCCCCCTCAATCCACGACAGTTTGCGGTCACTGCTGTACACAATTGGCTGCCGCGTTGCGTCAGGAAATATAGTCAGTTTAGAGTTTACGTTGTATTCTGTGAAGCGTTTTCAGTGTCTCAATGATGTGATCAGGAACTGTTATCAAATGCAGGAAATATTATTGTTAATAATAATAGTAGACGGACAAAGAATCGGAGATTCAAGGACCTACTGTCTCGCTTCTCGCAACAACAGCGGATTGTATTTCAAGTCGGGAGGCCATCCCAAGGCTCTGGACAGTCGAGTTCTATCCTTTGGGAGCAACGATTATTCCCAATCAGCTTCTGTTAATCATGGAAACCGAAGCCCATATGTGCTCAGGATGGTCTAAGCAGTACATGATGCGAGAAGTTGGCCAAGCATTGGGAGGCTTGACCAACAGTGTTTCAATGGCAGCTGTACAATTTCCCTGTTGATCCCAACAGTAAACCAATTCATATTCTGGAGTTCCTTTGCCCTGTGTGTTCCCAGAGTGCACCAAATGTGGGCGACACAGTGAAGGTGGCAGGACAGGTTGCTATAGCTGCTAAAAAAAAGCATATGGGATACTTGGCTTGATCAATAGAGGCATTGAGGTCAAAGGCAAGGAAGTTCTGGTAAAGGTTTATGTCACTGTTTAGGCTTCAGCTGCAGTATTGTGTCCAATTCTGGGCCACACACTTTGGAAAGATGTCAAGGCCTTGGAAAGGGGACAGAGGAGAGTTACTGGAATGGTACCATGGATGAGGGACTTTACTTATGTGCTGAGTGAGTGGGGTAGTGGGACTGATTGGATCGCTCTTCCATTGAGCGTACAGACATGATGGGCCAAATGGTCTGCTTGTGTGCTGCAATAATCTATGATTTTATGTTTCTACAATATCTGTAATTTTGATAGAACATAAAACAATTCCATTATCATTAGTATTTAATTCAAGTTAAAGAAATCGTCATCTTTCAACCAAATGTGAGTGCATTTTCTAATGTAAGCGCTGAGTGGCGCTGCAGGACCAATGTTGAACCTTGAACGCTTTCAGTGCTTTTAATTTTTGGGCACAATTGTGAATTGTGAGTTTCTTGAGCAGCGGCTTCAAATGCCTTTGGATTTCATAAATTTTGAAGAGAATATTAATGAGAAGATGTTGCTGCTTCTGGGCACCGACCAGATGACGATTGACAAGCGAGGGCTGCAATCCAACAATGAAAGTTATTTATGCATTTGGATATTTCAAGTTCATCTGCTGCTCGATAGATCTGTGTATCAACCAAACAACCCAAACACCTATACATCAATGGTCAGTCCGTCCAGCCATCCATCCATTCATCTGTCAGTCCACCCAGACACTGATCCATCGATTCATAACAACATACAAACAACTGAACCCAACCGTTTGCCCATTTCCTCTTCGACCCAACCTGTCCAGCCATCCAGTCTGTACATCCGAA